CCGTATTTTATCATCGTTTTCCTTGTATTTTTACCTGGCTTATGTCGTGTCCAATTTCTCTTTCTATCTTTCGGAACCAAATATAAATATTGACAGAATCATTACATGGTATAATATTAAAATAACAAATTTTATTTGCATCCAACTGTTAACGTATTTAATAAATTAAAGTCATTAAATATAAATATAATTAACGACTAAGTATAACCTATTCCTAAAAGTGACAATTAGACACGGTATAACACATATTCAACACAAACGCAAATAAATTCAACGTAAAGATGACACGAATTTGGAATCAGGTTAAAACTTTCGATATGATCACGATCCACTTATTATACGAGTTGACTCGTCACAATACAAATAACTCACAAATTCATAATGTGTCGTTTATTATGCTGTTGATATGACAACATAATAACCTATCAATCTCAAACTGTGTTACTTATTATGCCTTATGCGGGTAACATGACATGATAAGACACTGTAACCTATTTAGCAAGAAAAAACTATAAGAAGATTTAAGCGGGTCAATTTTGGATTCGCAGATTAACACGCGATATGACACATTCTTTTTGAATCAATTTTTGTCAACACAAATTTTAAAACGATTCGATCCAAACACAATTTTTTTTCATATCATGTCAGCGGGTTATTTTGAAAATTGCTACCCCTATCTATCCATATATATATATATATATAGGGATTAAAGTTTCTGCTGTAACTTTAGATAAGTATATCTGCTGTTAGCTTAAACACACCGTTTTGGTCTCTTTTTTAAAAAACTAAAACAAATTAGTTATCGTGCAACTGTTCCAAATCACGCTGTTTTTGTCATTTTTTTTACACACCTCGTTCGTATTCTCTATCTCTCTCGTCCAATTTGCCAACCCCGAATCCGCAAAATGCAACGATTCCACTAAGAAATCATTGGTCGAATCCAAAAACTGCACTGTTGGGTTGAGACGATCTCTCAGGTTGAACAATGGGGTCTTTGGGTTTTCCTCTCTTAGACGATCTCCCAGGTTGTCCAATCACAAACCCCACGGGAATAAGCAAATGGATAAGAAATCAAGTAAATCTGATGAATCTTCCTGTGACTTAGGGAAATCGAGGAGAGTGAAGGATAGTGAAGCGAAAATGAAAGAAAGTTCCATGGTTACCGACGAGGCAAACACAGTGTTAAAAAAAGGCGAAAATAGTGTGTTAATGGCGTAATTTGGAAGAGTTGCGATAAGTAATTTGTTTTAGTAAAAAAAAAAAGACCAAAACGATGTGTTTAAATTAACAGCAGATATACTTATCTAAAGTTACAGCAGAAATTTTAATCCCATATATATATATATATATATATATATATATATATATATTCATATTTAGTTAACATACAAAACTTATCTGATGTGTTTTTTTTAAGGTGTTATAACCGTAAAGTAAAGAGTATTCCTAATTTCTTTTACACCTTTTATTTGATTGAATGATAATGTTATTTTTGAAAGAAAAAAAAAACTTGGAGATCAAAAGGAAAAATCCCCTTTAAAATACTACTGTCGTATTGACTAACATGCTCGTTATCAATCATTCTATATTTTTTAAGGGTTTTGCATTTGTCATGCTGCATAACAAATGTAAAATTTCCTACACATACATCGATATTTGTGCTACATCTTTTTTTTATCTTTTTTTTTTTAAACATGATAGATCCCACATTTATTGTCTCTATAGCATGACAAGAGAATTGTCCAACAACATGATACTTGTTTTTCCCATTTTTTAAAGTAAAAAATTTAAATTTTTGAAATAACTTATGATTGTATGTGATAATAAAATTATAATTAGATGGTAAAAAGTATGAAACTATAAGATGATTCATCCAGTAAAATCTTTTATCGTTGATTGCAAAGATTTAATATTAAATTTTGTCTCTACTCATTTCCTTTCTAAGTGTATGTAAACAAAAAAAAAAAAATACTATTTAGAACTCTAAAAAGTTTCACAAATCATCTATGTATATATAATTAAAAAATATATAGAAGCATGCTCCTATTTTTATAAATGAGTAACGTTACATAAAATTTACAAACAATACAATGACACTCTTCTATATTATTATTATTGGTACAGTTCTATGTATTAGTAGCTATTTCGAAAGTTATATATCTAGCATCCAGTGCCTTATCTGAGAAAATGAAAAATATTAGTTCGTATTAATGCTGCCTCAAACGTTGCATTTTCTTTCTTTTGTGTTGAAGAAAAGTTAAAACAAACAGGCTGAAATTCAAGGGCTGGTGTGGACATGAAAGTTGAAAGCCCAAGAACATGGAAACCTTACTATTGGATAACATAAGGCCCATCTTCATTTTATTGATTAAATAAAGCCCAATTTGAAAAATAAATAAACTCTGCTTCCTGCCAAACTCAAAACATAATTAATTTGGGCCAAGTATATTCGTTATTCCGAAAAATATAAAGAGGTGTTAATAGAAATACCTAGAGGCGCGAGACAACTCTTTCTAAGGAACTCGGCAAAATAGCCTCATAACTTCGGGAGTTTACTAGATTGAAAATTTTGAATTTTTGAACATAAAAAATTACTCTAGATCCAATGTCACATTCAGTAAAGATTTAAAGTGGACAACCTGACTCGTCTCGTCTCAAAATGACTCCTGTTCTGCCCTATTTTAAAAGTTGGTTGAAAATTTTAATTCATCTGACTCATCTCCAAACCATCTTGCCCCTCCAACATATTATAAAAGTGATTAATTTTCAAAAAATGAAATTAACCATAGATGTAAAAGATATCAAATGAAGATAAAAATGTCATTAATAAAGTTTTTCAAAAATAAAATAAAAAAATCAACCCGACGAATCAACCCACCACACAACGAATTGAATCTATTTTGACTAATCTTTAAACTGCACGAGTTGAGAATCCCAACTCAACCCGCCATATGTAGCGGGTTAAACGGTCAACCCAACGGGTTGGAACCATTTTACGATCTCATATATTTCTCCTATTACATGAGATAAAGTTGTCTCTAACAACTATAAAACAATGTCGTTTGATGTTTAGGGAAAGAAATATAGGGTATTTAGAAATTTTATTTTTCTCTTGTATCATAAATTTTTCTAAAATATCCTGTAAATTTTTTTAAACCGTAAAATAACATCATTTTGAAGTTATAGAAGAAACGTTAATCCCTTTATTATTAGTAATTGTTTTTCAAATCAACAGAAAATTTGTAAAAATAAAATAATCAAAGGATACAAATCAAACCCAATGTGAAATATTATTATTCAGTATAATGTAGGGGGTGTAATTATAAAAGACACTATAATAATTACATTAGAGGAAACACGAGTTTGTGAGTATAAAATGATAATTAGATCACATAAGGCTAAAAGCATGTGTTATGTTTGATCAAGAGTTAACCTACGAAGTGATGTTGTCCATAATTTAAGAATTTGAAAGGATTTTCTCCATTTTATTATTATTAATATTGCACGATTTGACTTACATATTTGAATGACTTTATAAATTTTGATGGTTATCCATTAAAACCAGAGTAATAACATTCTGAATGGGCCTTCTAACCATGGTTGAACTAGACCCGTAATCTTATTACAAAATAAATGACATTTGTAGAAGACATTTTTTATATCAAAATGAAAGGAACTTAATAAATAAAGCAAAAGAGCTTTTAATATCTATATAATTATTAAAATAAAGTTTTTATACAAAATGGATACTTGATTTTTGACTATGAAAGGATGAATACCTTGGGTGCGTTGTGATAAATATATTTTTGTGACTATAATGCTATACAATCGCTTCGTGATAATAAAAATGATACGTAACTCTGTTTTTTCAATTCGACAAGTTTTTTTTCCGACAAATCGACTGATTATTTTTCGTGCATCGCACGGGTAATATACTAGTTGGATATAAAAAGGAACACCGTAGTTTTTTTGGCCCATGTGAGTCCTAACTCTGAAGAGCGTTTTTTTTTTTTTTAATTTAAAATGCATGAATTTTGCCAATTTACTTTATATATGTTTAGATTGATTTTTTTTTTAACTAAAAATTTGAATAGTCCCTAATTATGTCACTAGTAAAATTTCACTACTTAACATCTATGGAAATTATAAGATACACAATTATATGCAACTAAAATATATGTTTTATTTTAGTTTTTTCATCATCTTCTAGGAATGCTTAAATTTGTTATTGCTTTTGGAACTGTCTGAAAATTTGTTATTGCTTTTGGAACTGTCTGAAAATATGATGAGTGGATCGGGAGGATCTGTACGTCTTTTTTGCGAGATCTCATCTACTCCTATGAAAAAGGCTTTGGCACAAAATTAGACACGTGAGTAGTCAAAACTAGTGAAAAATAAAAATGTTTGATGGTGTCTTTCATAAATTGAATTAGCTAGAAAATATTTAAGAGCATTTAATGCATTATTAAAAAGAAAGATGTTGGTTTTATATGTCACTATAGATATAGTTAAATATAAAAATGTATAGCAATATTTTTCCGGTTGATATGCTTCTTTAGAATAAGTTTCTTTTAGCCCACATTTTTTTATCATCAATGTATATAAAAAGAACAAGTTTAAAATACGGTAAAGCTGAAAACAAAGATGTAGGAAGAAAAAAGAAAAACAGTTTGGTTGGTAAAGTACTTATTAAGAAAATGAATAATTTAACTCAAGTAAAGTAATACTCTTATTAATTAGATTATTAATTATTAGAACTGAAACGAATAATTTCGCATTAATAACATATATACTTCTTGTAGAAACAGATTGAAAGATTAATAATTAAACCGAAACTGCAATGTATACTAATAACTTCATTGTAACCCCAACCAATACGTTCAGTGAACTAGTGAAACTGCCACCTTATACCTAGTATATATAATAATATATTATCTGAAAATATTTCCATGAAATTTCATCATTTAGACCCATAATCAAGCACATAGATACATAGACACATGACCACAGGAATTCTTGAAGTGCTTCTTGTTAATGCTGAAGGCATTACACACACAAACCTTGTTGGTATCATTCCTTTCTTTTAATTCTATATCTTTAGCATGTCAATTTCAATATATTGTTTCAATGGATTTTCTTTTGATCCAAAATGTTCTGAAAAGTATTATTTTTTCGTTAATTTTTGTTAACCAACCATTGCTTATAATTAATGATGAGCATGTATGTGTACTTGCCATTATAGGAACACCTTCCTACTATGTGGTTATTGAGTGTGGGACTCAATCTCAAAGAAGCAAAGTTTCATCAGGTTAAAGTACTTGCTCGTATGAGACTTGAGCGATCACAATTTTATTTTTATTTTTTTCTTTTTGCCCCCATTGAATCTACATAGTAACTGAATTTATATATGTAATGCAGGAAAACATGAGAAACCTTGGTGGAATGAGAAATTCTTATTTGATTTCTCATCGTTTGATTGCAAGAACTCAACCCATCTTACGTGTAGAATCATGGACACAGAACTCTTCACAAATGGTGGATTTGTTGGTGAAGCAAAGTATTTCCTTTCTTGTGCAATTTTTTTTTTTTTTTTCAAATACTCAATTTGATGTCTACAAATAGGGGCAAAAGGGATCGATATTCAGAAGGGCAAGAAAAAATTTAATAATATAAATTTTTATTAATGCATTAAAATAATTTCTTATTAAATTCTGACTAACAAAAATAACGGTGAAGATTATTTTACATATTTGTAAAGAGACTATTTTTGGATTCGAATTCCTGTCCTTTATTTAACAAAAATTTAATTTTACCAGAAATTTAATAGCTAAATTTTTTTTGCAATTTTTTTTACATTTATTTTTTATATACATATTGAGCAAAAAGCATTGTGTAAATTAGCTCATTAATTTTAATTTTGAGTACGTGTTTGTGTTAAAAATTTGACAAAGAAGATTTTGTTGTATTCTTACCCGACTCAAATCATATTAATGGGCTAATTAATGAAAAATCAAATAAAATTGACCAATATAACTTCTACCTATAAATGAATTGTCATTTCTCAAGATACGATTTTTCTTCAAAAGGATTAATTTATATATTTGGTTTCATTTTTTCTCTCTCTCACAAAGCAGGGTTTACATAGGTGGAATAATCACTGAAGCAGGTGACCAGGGATATATAGAAATAAAACCAGCTGCATATAATGTGGTCCTTGAAGATGACACCTACAAAGGACAGATAAAGATTGGATTTAAATTCATTGCAAATGTAAGCTTTGACGTTTTCTTTTTCTGTGGAAGTTAATAGTCTAAATGCTATTTAACAATTAATGTTTGTTGCAGAAAGAAAAGTATGTACATGTGATGGGGAAACGAAAATTCATTGCTGAGGAGAAAGAACCAAGCCATTCAATTTGTGGATCCATTTGGAGAGTTTCATGGTGGAAAATCTTGTTTTTCTATAATAAAAAGAGTCCCAAATGTAAACAAAAGAGGAATTAGGATTATCTTTTCATGGATAATTTATTAAAAATCAAAACCATGGTCCATGACCATGAGTACTTTTACATCCCCCCACCCCCCAAAACAAGACAATAGGGAAAGACATGCTTCTAGACTCGTCACTCATGTAGTGTGCTTAACTTATTTATGAATTTGTTACAATTATGGCTCGGAACTTCAATTTAATTAAACCTTTAATTCTATAACATTTCTAGTGATTTTACTTTTATATATATATATATATAGAGAGAGAGAGAGAGGCGGATCTAGGTTAAGGGAAGAGGGGGCAAGTGCCCACCCTTAAAATATGATGCAAAAATACAAAAATATCCTTATCTTAAACTTCAAGTTTATCCGATTTAATTTTGGGGTAGGATATTGTAACAATCAATTAGGATTATTATCAATATTACTACCAATCAATTTCACCGTTAGATCGATTATGTTGATCCAACGGTTATATTTATTTTCATCTTTGTATGGTTATGATTCTTCATATTTAATACTTTATATTTATTTTCACCTTTGTATGGTTATGATTTTCCATATTTAATGCTTTTACATTAAATATGGGGATCATAACCATACAAAGATAGAAATAAATATAATTGTTGGATCAACATAATCGATCTAACGGTGAAATGGATTGGCAGTAACCCTAGTTGATTGTTACGATATCTTACCCCTTTAATTTTCCTTTCTATTTTATTTTTTCGTGAGTTTTTTTTTATTGATTGGTAATAATCCTAGTTGGTTGTTACGATATCTTATCCCTTTAATTTCCCTTCTTCTATTTTATTTTCCCGTGAGTTTTTTTTTCTTCTCCATCTTCATTATCCAAACCTAACAACAGAGAGCTATATTCTAGACCCATCGTTTGCATCTACATACTGATTCATCTACTCTCAAACCTCAATATCTGTTATGGGAAGTTGGAACATTTGGTTCTTCGTCCATCATGGGTCTAGTTGAGTCGCAATCCGTCCAAATTTAGATCTCAACCAGACCCAGCCAGCTGGTAGCTGCTCCCAAGTCGCATTTCAGACCATACCCAAATCTATATGTACTTGAACTTATTGAGTGCCCACCCATTCATTAATTTCCTGGATCCGCCACTATATATATATATATATATATATATATATATATATATATATATATAGAGAGAGAGAGAGAGAGAGAGAGAGAGAGAGAGAGAGAGAGAGAGAGAGAGAGAGAGAGAGAGAGAGGAGGATTATATTCACAAACTTTTACAAATTACATTATGTACTTCCTGAAGTACACTATGTTACACCATGTACCCGAAAGTATATAAAGCGGATCCTTCTCCATAAATTTTATATATATATATATATATATATATATATATTCGGTAGCCATATATTCTTTTTGATTTTCATCAAGGAGCCATGGACCAAATGAAGAGCATGACAGACTATATTTTGAGAAAGAGGTTGCACGTCTTTGAGCAACTTCAGGCCTCCAAACTATTAAATTATAAGAGTTATTATCAACAAAATTGATTTATTGTTCACATGCATGCCCTTCTAACTAACCTTATTCCATTTGGCCAGCTATTCAGTTGTTAGTTGTATTAAATTTTCTACCAAATATAGAAATATAGCAAGTGGGACACTATTTCTAAGTTTTCATTTTAAGCTTGAATATGTTTGATTATCCTTAAATATAAGGATTATTAGATATATATAAAAAAATGGGTCTTATGTCTTTATGTATATACTACAATATATTTAAGGAATGCTACGGAATGTGATGAAGGTGTTGCCTTCATGTCCTTAAATGTTGACCCCATTATTTATAACTACTAGACAAAATAAATAAATATTTAACTTTTTAAAATGGAAGAGTGTAATTGATTTATCTGTAAAATCAGCATCTTAGTTCTTGTTCGTGTGGTTCACATGCAACCATATCAATATTGACCATAAATGGTCAATCTTTTGTGAACCATAAATTATTGTTCAAACATCATTTTATGATTCGTATAAAAATATGGACATCTTGTAAGCTTTCATAACTGGGGAAGTAAAAAAATCTTGGATGGTAAATTTCATAAAAGAATTTTCTCTATGATGAAAAATGAAACTAAATAATTAAATATCAAGTAATTTCATTAAAGTAAGAGCTGATTTTTTGTTTTGATTGACTGACCTCATGCCCTAAATTGATCTAACTACAATAAATTTTAAATTTTTTGAAGTAAATTGCTGATCAACATTAAACATTTCTATAAAGAAAATGAGGAAAAAAAAGTAGAAAATTACCATTTTGAAATAAATTACCAATTAGCATTCAAATATTTCTAATTTTTTTAAATAATTTATTATAATTCAATTAACATTAAACACTTCCAAAAAGAAAATTAGAATAGTCAATGAATAAGTGAAGAAAGAGGTGAAACATGGCACCACACTGGCAAAGTGGATAATTAACCAGCCCTACTCTATCTCCAGCTCGGATCTAAATCGTCCTGCTTTGCTTTTGAAATTGGGGTGAAAATTTCAACCACATGCCTCTAACACCGCCAACATTTTAGAAAAGTAAACTTTTTTCAAAAATTATAATCCCTATAAATATAAATTATATCAAATTATAGCAATAGAAGTGTAAAAAAAGTCATTATTAATTTTTTTTCAGAAAAAATTAAAAAAAAAAAACCCAATGGGTTAACTCTTCCCGCTAGATGAATCTATATTGGCCTCCCCTTGAGCGAGGCGGGTTTAATAAGTTGGTAGATTGATCTCAACTCGATCCGCCATTTGTGGCAGAGTAAACCTGATGAATTGGACCTATTAACAGTGATTAGAGATGAGAAAGAATATCAGGATAAGGACTAAGAAGTGGTAAAATTATTACCGTTAATTTGTTCATGAATAATTAGATTTTCTGGTATGACATGATCATGTTAAATAATACATGAAATGATCTTCTCACATATAATATTTGGGATTGTGTTCATCCTTTTAAAAGATATAGAATTATGTCATTTTAAGTGAGAGAAAGAAATACATAATAGACGTTGGAAAAAATATTTGTCATTTTAAATGACATGAAGTTATGTCATTTTAAGAGAAAGATAGACACAAAATAATATTTTTTATTTAAAATTTAAATTAAAAAATCCCACTTTTGCCCTCATGATTTTCATTCTTTGTGTCTATCTCTCTCATAAAATGACATAACTTATATTATTTAAAATGATAAACATCAAATCCATAGAAATTATAGGGGAGAAAATGAGAGTTTTTTTAAAAATTAAATTTTAAACAAAAAATACTAATTTTAACTAAAATGACTATCCTTTAAAAGGAAAAACATTTTTTCCATAAATTTTACACCAAAAAAGATAAATATGTAAATTTTACACTACGGAGACGTTTGGTAGAGGAGAAAAAAATTTTTATCCGGAAATCTCAATTTTCAAAAATATAATCTTACGATAATATCTGAAAATTAAAAATTTAGAAAAATTCAGTTTTCCGATAATCCCCAAAAATTTCGCGTAGCAAACGGGCTCAACATGAGCTTTTTTTTTTTTTTTGAGGTGGTTTTTTCTTTCTTTCAAATTTCATGTACTTTGATCAATTAGCCGACTTCATGAAGTACATGCACATTTTCTCTCTCTCCATATTTCACCATAAAAGAATTAAAAAGAAAATCTTTTCACAAAAATTTGATTAATATCAAAACATAATTATTAGTATAATTTTTTTTTCCATTTAAATGTAAAGGAATGTGATACTTATTATCATTTTTTATAACTAATTTTATTATCGTTAGATCAAAATCAAATCAATAATTATGAAATAAGAATCATTGATTTGATTTTGATCCAACAATTATAAAATTGATAATAAAAAAATTAGTAAGAAATATAACCAAATCCCTTGAATGTATGCTTTCAGTTTTATACATTGACAATCATATATGAGAGTTGATATTATCGTAGTATAAAAAAAAATAACATAATCATGTGAGGAGTTATAATAATATAAAAATGAATCAATGATAAAAAAGTTATTAAAATAATAATTATAAAATCAAAACATGATTGGAAGATTGTGATTTTCCAATATCACCGTGTCATGTTTTTTTTTCCATTTTCATCATATATAATATAATGGTACAACTAAGCCAAACCGAGGACCTGCTTCTCTAGCTCCATTGTTGTCAAGGAAACACCTTGCATGTCTTGTTCTATTCTGCTCCAACAAAATCTTTTAGCCATTTCTGCAACTGAGTTTTCCTTCTTTAATTGGATTATTACAGTGTCAGGAGTATCAAAAAGGTCAACAACTTCCGTCGTTGATTATCTTCAAAGTAAGTTTTTTTTTCTCTCTTTCTTTTACTGGCATGGAGAATCTATAAGATGAAGACACCAACGCTAGGGAGGGAACTGTTTCAAATGATGTTTAGGTAGCTATAGTTCAAATTCAAACCAGACAAATAAAAAATTAACATTAAAAAGAATGTTGGGGACCGTTGCTTTTTTTTTTTTATTCTAACGGTTGTCTTTGAAGTTTTTAAAAATTTCAGTTTTTTCACCCTCAGAAAGTTCTCAAAGAATGCTTTATTCACAACCCTTTACTGCGTTTTTCAGTAAATTATTTTGGGTCTCAATAGCAGTAACAGTCTTTGGAAGCTTTTGCTTTTTGTCTTTAGAGAAGACAAGAACGTTCAAGTTTTCAGCTTTTTCTTTTGATCTATTTTTTTTTTGTTTTCCTTTTCTTTTATGTTTCTTTAGTTTTGATTTCACTGGAAATTGAGCATTTTTAAGCTGAGTTGTTATCATGGAGTGTTACCGAGTGATGACAATTAGAACCCACAAACCCAATTTGTGACTCAACTTCCATGATTATATGTGCAGGTGTTGAGGAAATTGACCTTAGAATATTGGGTTAAGATGGACGATTCCTCAAACTTTGATGAAAACTCTGATGTTGGTTATGAGCCTTCACCTTCTTCTGTGGATCAAAATGATCATTCAGTCACTGAAACTGCTGGGTACTCCCCATTTAGTGGTGATTCCTCTACATATTGTAGGACTAATTCAGAGGTGTCAAGCTTCTCTGAGCCTGTTGATGACAATAGCTATGCTAGTGAGCCTTCACCTTCTCTGTGGAAAACTATGAAACATGGAGCTGGTCAAGCTGCTCTTTCCAGGTTAGGAATGAATCAGTGCAGGCATTCATTTGATGATAAACCTGATGATGACCTTGATCTCTTGGAGTCAGGTTGGTTTACACTGCTTGTGTTGTTGTTTGTGAATTTTTCCTCTTTGAATAAGTACAATTATATAGGAATTAACTCAATTTTGTGGATATTTTTAGAGCTTGAAATGATGAAGGAAAAATTTGCAAAGCTTCTACTGGGGGAAGACATGTCTGGGGGTGGGAAAGGTGTCTGCACTGCAGTTACAATATCAAATTCCATTACCAATCTCTATGGTAATTTTTTATTAGTAGCAATAGCATAGTCTGGTAATGTTGGTATTGTTTGTTTGTTCAATTGGTTGCTTTTAAACATATTTGGATTGGAATATGCAGCAACTGTATTTGGACAAAGTTTAAAGTTGGAGCCTCTGAAGCCTGAGAAGAAGGCCATGTGGAAAAGAGAAATGAATTGTCTTCTATCCGTGTGTGATCACATAGTAGAATTTGCCCCAACAGCACAATACTTAGAAGATGGCACAATTGTTGAGGTGAACTATTGCAAAACCTTAACTATAAGGTTAATGAAGCTTGTTGTGCATCTCATAATGTGTCTAATATATTATCTTGTGATGTCTCTCAGATGATGTCAAGCAGACCAAGATCAGATATTTATATCAACCTCCCAGCTCTGCAGAAGCTTGACGCAATGCTCATAGTAAGACAAAATTTTATTGTTTCTTGTACATGACAACTCGGTTTTCATCCACAGGCCTTGTGCCATACAAACATGAATGTTTTTTTTTTTTTTTTTTACAGGAAATATTCGATAGTTTCCAGGATAATGAGTTTTGGTATGTGGAGCAAGGGAGCATACCACGTAGTTCGACTAGTTTGCGTGCAGGCTCATTTCGAAGGATTGTTGAGAGGAAAGATGAGAAATGGTGGTTGCCAGTGCCTTGTGTTCACTCCTGTGGCCTCTCTAGTAAGTCAAGGAAGCACTTGAGTGAGAAACGAGATTGTGCTAATCAAATTCATAAAGCAGCCATGGCAATAAATAGCAGTGTTCTTGCAGAGATGGATATTCCAGAAACATATATGACAAATCTTCCCAAGGTTAGTACTCATTGGTGATCCAATCATTAAAGACTATTTTTGTTTCTCAAAGTTTCAGTCTAAAGTCAAATCCAAGCAATGAGTCTGCATAGCTGAAATATTTTTGGGATATGATTCAGGATTTCACTAAATTCAATCCTATGGAGCTAGTAGCATTAATTGTTAGATTTCATAAGCTCTTTATTAAAGCCAATAGTAACACCTTAGCTTGTAAAGAACAGCATTGTATAATTTCGTACATGTTACTAGTAACATGTAAATCAGATGAGATCTTCTATTAATTAGTCTTTTCTTGAACCAACTCTTCCGAAAACTTAAGCTATTAGGTGAAGACACATGAATTGTTTTATATCATATCTCTAACATGTCCCTTCACACAAGAGTCCTTTGGAAACACCAAGAATTGAACCCTAGAGCACGTAGTCATAGAGCTCTAGTATCATGAATCAACTCTCCCAAAAGCTTAAGCTTAAACTATTATGCGAAGACACATGAGTGGTTTTATATCATATCTCTAACAAGTCTTATACTTTTCCCCTTGAAAGTAATTACAAAATTTTAAGAATGATAAAGTTAGTGCTGGAGAGTAGTTGTTTTGCATGATAGTGAAACCATTATAGATCATCTCTACAATTCAGTTTCATAGAACGCACTGAATAGTATGTATTCATATTTGTGTCAAAATGACTAAAATTTTATTTGACTTCATTTTCTCTTTTCAAACATTAATTTCTCTAGAGTGGAAGAGCAAGTCTGGGGGACACAATTTACCGCTATATGCATTCTGCAGACAAGTTCTCACCTGACTGCCTTCTTGACCGTCTCAAAATAAGTTCTGAACTCGAAGCACTCGAGCTGACAGATAAGGTTGAATCTTCAATGTACACATGGAGACGGAAAGCTTGTCTGAGCCATTCAAAATCATCATGGAACAAAGTAAAGGATCTCATGGCTGACACAGACCAAAGTGATAAAAACTACATCTTAGCTGAGAGAGCTGAGACTTTATTGTTTTGCTTGAAGCAAAGATATCCTGAACTTTCACAGACATTCTTGGACACATGCAAGCTTGAATACAACCGGGTAAGTTTAGCTATGTATAAATTCATATCATATGCAGCTATAAAAACCACTCCTCATTAAGTCCGACTAAAGAGGATGGGGTGAGGGCAATCTTTATATGCTGTCTAACCCTTGCATATATGCAAAAAGGCTGTTTAAACCCGTGACCTCTCAATCACGGAGGAGTAGTTGTTCCACTACTCCAAACTCACCCTCTTATATCATAAGCAGCAATCAACATTGGAAAATAGAAGAAAGCCATTACATGGTCATTTTCCTATACAAATGAATAACATTTTATGACACCATGATATGTATATCTATTGTAGAAAGTTAAGAAGATAGAAGAGAACTAACAGATATCTTGATTGTGAGCTCATGGACTAAGAATGAAAATTATGTTGTGCAGGATGTAGGTAAAGCAGTATTAGAGAGCTACTCAAGAGTATTAGAAGGCTTGGCATTCAACGTTGTTTCTTGGATTGAAGATGTTCAGAACCAAGATGTATAGAAACCTAATGCTGATGCTCTTTTTTGTAAGCGATAGCTTTAGGAGAACTTAGGTAATAGATGATTGCATTGAAAGCTATTCACTTGCATCTGTATTAAATTTAGCTTTTAGCTATGCTAAAGAAGAGAGTTTTCAGATTCAGTTGAAGGATTAAGCAAATCCTATATAATTGCCTGATTTTTAATATGAAAAGTAAAGACAATTAAAATCAAGCATGTTATTATATTTTCAATAGGAGAAAGTTATATTTACAAACTTTTTGTTTACAAACTCTTACAAATTATACTATGTCTTACCGGTCATACTTTAATCAAGAGTGTATGACCGGTCATACTTAGTGTAATTTTAAAAAAAAAGTTTGTGAACAGATCATTTCCCTTTTCTATATGTTAATTCTGATATGAAACCAAGCATGGATGAATTATTGTATCTTACTAGCAAACTCAAGAACAACCAAGCATTATCTCACACTACGAGCTACGTGATCAATCAAAGTCCTAAAATCTATCAAAAACTAAAATTTCAAAAAATCCATTTAGAACACCAAATTAACAAATAATAATAATATTAATAAAAAGAAATAAAGAAAGAAAAACCTTTATACCCTTCTGTTCTTTAGAAATTAATACTTGTTAAGGAAATTGTCGTTAGACAACAAACTAACGTGGTCATATTTCAGTTTAGTAGCAAACCTCTGTATAAATATATTACTAAATTGGAGTATAATCAAAATAAGTTGTTTGAACATAAATTATTATTTTAATTGGTCACGTACCAATAATATTTCAAAATATTTTTCATGCTTATTTCTTCTATTTACATTTTTTTAAATTAAAGAAATAAATATCTCTTTGGTATAAACAAACTTCATCAAAAAATAAAGAAATTCTTTTTTGCTCATATAAAGGTTTATGCTTCTTGTTTATGACAACCATTCTCTTCCTGGCTTTTTTTTCCAGAGAAATAATTGTTTTTTATTTCTATGTTTAAGAAGAAATTTCGGGAAAAAAATTTGTTTGATAACTTAATTCATTTTTACTCCAATAGAGAGAATATTGTTTTTAAAAAAATAATATATTTAATAAATAGTGTGTATTTAATCCTATAACACATTCTACAATATATGTGTTTAATTAATATTGTGTCAGATAATTAAAAAAGCAAAAAAAAAAAATTCTTATTTCTGTCAATTTGTATTCCTAAATTACCTGTTCATTTTTTAGGGCAAAAAAAAAAAAAGGATTTTATCCAACATTGTTTCTGATCATTTTTGTTCCTCAAACTGAATTAAAAAAAAATAAATTTCGTGGGAGTTCTCATGCACACCTTAAATTTTTTCTAAAAAATAAAAAAAAATAGAAGGATAAGATTAGAATGGAACAACATCGGTATATAAAAAAATATATAAAGACCGAAATCTAAATAATAAAAAATTAAATAATTAAAATCTTATTTATACTTTTTTTTCTAATTGACTGCAATGTATTGATAGATTATTGTGAACCATAAATCAAAGAAATGAAGCTGCATTGTGTACTAAACACTGCGTTTTTGAATGGGGGATTTCTTCCGTCGATGGCCACTTGTTAAAAGTTAAAGAGTTTGATATTTCTTATGTTATAAGAGATAAAATTATCTCTTATATATACATAAAAGTGTGTAAGAGTTATGTGAGTTCATGTGAAAAGAAGAAAAAATAAATAAATATAAGTCCCATTTATTTTTATATATGTGTAAGAAATAATTTATTTCTTATAATATAAGAGTTTAAACCCAAAGTTAGAATTTAAAATCGTTGATATGGGCTTAGCTAAAAAATAACCCATAAAACCCAAAGTATGGCCCTCTTTGATGAGCCCATTTATTGATGGGCTTAACCCACGGAGCCCATCGATTTGTGGCTCATTCCACGTCATGCCGTCTTCTTCCCCATCGTGGATGCTCAGTTCTCGTGTGGGAATTGCTCTTATTTTCTCTCTCTAGGAACTAATCACGTTCACTCAAACTTCTCTCTCCTCCTATGAGCTGAACCTTCAGGTAAATAATCCTTAATCACAATTTTGTTTTTGTTTTGTTTTGTTTTTTATCTGAATTGCAGAAAATAAAGCTTTAGGGGTTTATTTATTAGGTTTAACTTATTTATTATGTTTAACCTCAACTAATTTCTTCTTTTTTCTTGTTTTATTTGTTATCTGATGTTCGCTGATTTGAATAAAGCCTCGAAAACCTAAATCTTATTAAACTTCCAAACTAACGGAAATTCATATATTTGAATGAGTGGAAATCCCCTTTTCTCTCTCTCTCTCTCTCGTTGTGACGATGTTAACTTGTAAATATGATGTTGATTCTTCTGATATAGAAATTGAGTTGTGAATCCAAGGTTGCATTCATTGGTGTGTATGTGAAGTTTGGATGTTACATTGATTTCTGTTTCAATTTTGCTACTACAAACTTTTTTTTTTATATCTTTTAAGCATCACCTAATAGATCTTAACATTATGCAGAGGCTGAAGTGTAGACATTGGTGGCTTAAATAATGGGGTCTAATTCATTGAAGGATTATCTGAAAAGGTATGAAAGTAACACTGAAGAAGAGAAGAAAAATAAGAAGAAGAGGAAGCAGAAGAAGAAAAGTCAACCACAAGCAACTGGGTTGTTAGTCGTGGATGAAGATCCCACATGGCAGAAACCCATAGATCTTGGAGAAGAAAATGATGATAACTCATCTGGTAAATAATAAGATACTAATATCTTTTTGTGTTTAGACAATTTACTGTGTTTGGTTTCTGTATTATACTATTATTTCTCATAACCATGTTTTATTGGTATATGTAGATGGGGACAAGCCACAAATTGATGAAGACATTGAAGTGAAGCGAATGAAGAGGCTTGAGCAGCTCAAGGCCAGACGTCCTTATCATGCTATATCAGAGGATGGAAGTGGTTGGATTTCACTTTCTTCAAAATCTGCCAATCCTACTGACTTAAATAATGATATGTCTCCACCCCGTAAACGAAGGGTTCAAAATGACACACCTTCACCAGAACCTGAATTAAATCCTTCTACTTCTAATAGAAAGGGTGTTGATTTATCACCTTCTGATCAGCTGTTGAAACGCTATGACACTCCGTCACCTGAACATGATTCGCAACTAGCGCATTTCAAGGGGCTGAATTCTGACTTATCTCCCCCTCGTAAGCACACAGTTCAGAGTGTTACAATTTTAGCAACTCGTGAGCCAAGGTCATCAGAGTCAAAATTTGAAGATACTGATTTATCACCTCCACAGAAGCGACGCAAAGGTCACCGTACTCCATCGGTTCAACCTGATACAGATTCTGCTCATATTTCTAACCCGAGTCCTGACATTTCCCCCCCTCGCCGGCGTCATTGTCAAACATCTGATGACAATGGAAAACATAATTATGAGACTTCTGATTTGCATGATCTTTCTCCGCCTCGACGAGGTCGTCATGATTCTCCCTCTCGAGATAATATACATGGATCTGCAGCATCAGACCTTTCACCCCCAAGGAAAAGGAAGAAGAATGTTGCAAGATCGGGTTTGTCTGATCTTTCTCAGCCATCTTTGGATCCTGACCTATCTCCACCAAGGAAAAATCCAAAGGAGCTATCCATTCTAGGATCTGTTAATGATAGAAAAACAGGTTTAATGTCTGGTAAGGATATCAAGGACGAGATTGACAGAAAGAAGAAGGAAGATTTGTTGAGGTAATTGTTCGGTTACTTTCTAATGTTTTCCAAGCACATATAATTATGCACCGGATGATTTTTTGGTTATGATCCATACTTAGCTGTTTATAACTGGTTTATTATGGTATGTAATATTTCTTAAATATTCTGCTTTTAACTATCAATATTAAATTTAAAATTCATTAATCAAGAAATGTAGAGCAAATAAAATGTTGCATGTCAAGTATCAATTCTTCTAAAACCTTAAGCTATTAGGTTTTATATTTACTAATATGCCCAGGAAAAGCTTATTCTGGCCTAAAATTTATTCCTTCATGCAGATTTAAACAGATGGATGCTTCCATCAGTGGGCGAGGTGCTGAACCTGTATATCGTGATAAAATAAAAGGTCTGGTATTGAAGCCAATTTTTAGTTGATGTTTTCTGTTCTTTTTTGTTCAATCTATTTGATGTTTTTGTTATGAACATTCGTTAATGAATCATGCTGAATTTTGTAGGAGTACGCATTTCTAAAGAGGAATACATGAAGTCAAAACAGAAAGTAGAAGAAAAGCCCAAGGTAAGTGCACTGCATGATACTGTGTAGCACTTCATCTTTTCTGGATGTACTTTGTACATACTTCCTGTGTTATATTGGCTGCAAATTATATCATTGAAAAAAAAAAAAGATGATTCTTTCTGATGATCCAATTTTAGTTTATAGGTAATGTGGGTGGTTGAAAAGATACTTGCTTAGCTTGTTTTTTGTTCACTTATGAAGATTTTCCTGGAGGACTGTCTGCAAATTGAATGATGATGTTAAGATTGAATTAGTAATATACAATGTTACATATGTAAATTTTGTTAGGTGTAGTTGCCTAATTGATTTTGTAAGGATTACATAACCTTGAAGTATAAATTAGGATGTTTATTGACTTGCTAGAACAAGAGAAATGATATAGGTCAAATTGTATTCAAAACAGTGGGCTGATCATTATAGAGTGCAAGTTGTATAATTTTTTCCTGATCAAAAATATATAAGCTATTTGTTCCTTGTAAATATATGTTGGCTAAAATATAATGTTATTAGCGCCTTGTAAAGATATTATGCTATGAATATTGCATCAAGAAGGAAAAAAAACATCTCATATTTTTTATTGTTATTTTGTTCCTATGTCGTAATTGATGGGTGAATTTTATTTCCAATGGATTTTACTACATTGATGTTATTCATGTTTTCCCATGAAAATTGGAAAGTTGAATACTTAGCTATCTTATTGATTTTCAGGAGAAGGAAATAGAATGGGGCAAGGGCTTGGCTCAAAAGCGGGAAGCTGAGGCTAGGTTAAAGGAAATAGAACTTGAGAAGGAGAAGCCTTTTGCGCGGACCAGGTATAAAGAAAGTAACTAGAAACATGGGTTGTAGATTTTTCTAAAGTTCTTATTGTAGTATATTAGTATTGTAGCAAGAGGACAAGTCTTGGAGCAACAATAAGGTTGCTCCTTGTGATTGGAAGGTTACGAGTTCAAGTATGAGAAATCCTCTTTGCAAAAATGAAAGGATAAGGCTGTATTAATCGACCCTCACTCCTACTTTCACAAGTTATGGAGCCTTGTGCACTGGAGTTTGTTGTTTCTGTCGTTTAGTATATTATTTGTATTGTAGCAACCTATTACTTTTCTATTGATTGTCATGTATAAGAAGGGACTTTAAAGTATAGAAGCCAAAGAAAGCCTCTTTACCTAACTTTGGCTGGTATACGGGAGGGAACAGGCTCAGTTGAAAAAAAACCATACCATATATGTCTTTAGATTCAATAAATCTATCTCTGTTGGGAACTTATTTTAACCAATATTTTTGTCTTTCTTCGATACCAATCTGCAGGACTAGTCTTTTTACTTTGTTTGAACATACTATGAATTTTTATTCATCTTGTTGATCATGTCCTCGAAAAAATCTAATCTGATTGCCTGCAACAACTAGAGCTTCAGGTAGATAAACATTTTGCATTACTGGGTAAATTTTGGACTTTAGACTCTAAACTGTAAATTTCATGAGTGGATGATGGTCTTTACTCCGTAGTAGGAAGTAATCTATCAGCTCGCCAATTGATTCTCTTGTTAGCAGCCTTCCCGAGTAGGATTTTCTTAATTCACTTTACTGTGATTTAAGAGAGGTGATAATCTGATTTACTATGTTCTGCATAACTGTTGCATCCGTTCAGTAGGATATGCGAGTCTATCACATTTTGCACTGACACTAATGCTACCGGTACCCTTTTAGATTGGGCCCGTCTTCCAAGCATAGCTTTGAACCTGCTATGTGTTTTGTCGTTGTAGTCTGTCTTCCCTCCATCTGTAATTAATTTCAACTCTTTTATTTTCCCTCCAAATATGGTGTTCTTTCACCTTTTTGTTTTGTTTGGTGGTGGAAAGTGCTTTAAAATTAGCTAGTTTGCTATGTGTCAGCTTGAAAGTTTCTTTGTAAAATGATATATATGTTACGAAAAATCCCTTTAGAGAACAAGTCCTCGGTAATGTTGGTGTTTATCGTGTGAGCTGATGTCCTTGAAAAAGGTTTCTTTTTCCTTCTCTTCTCCCTACCTCTTATACAGTTATACTGCTGTGTTTTCTTTCAGAGATGATCCTGAACTTGACAAAATGCTGAAGGAGAGAATAAGATGGGGTGATCCTATGGCAAATCTGGTAAAGGTAATGCAATACAACTCTTACTGCTTGTATGGACACTTAAGATGGAGGAGTTTGATCAGTTCTGAAATGTTTCTCTTCTCAATTGTCATTTGCAGAAAAAATATCCGGAGCCTGTTCTTCTGAACTTGGGGGAAAATGAGAAGATGAAGGAATCAGGTTTTGTTGTTCCTCAGGATATTCCAGACCACAGCTGGTTAAAAAGAGGTTTAGATGCAGCTCCAAATCGGTATGGGATAAGGCCTGGACGGCACTGGGATGGTGTTGATCGTAGTAATGGTTGGTTCATATTCTCATACTATTTGTACTTGGATTTTACCTTCACTTTTCTCACTTTTCTCATAGAAATATTGGAGAATTTTGTACGTCTTAAATGATTGACGTAACCTCTTTCCTTGCTTGTAGGGTTCGAGAAGCAGTCGTTCAAGAGAACAAATGAAAGGCAAGCTAGAGACAGAGAAGCTTATCTTTGGTCCGTGTCTGATATGTGAAAAATGACATTATAAAGATACAAAGGGTGGTTGACGATGCATAAGTCCAAGTATTCAGAGAGTCACATTGGAAGGCATGTTTTGTAATGATGTGGATTTTGAGGGATTTAATGTTTGATATGGCCAAGATTGTGCAATGGAAAAGGTTCTTGGTTCCATTGCTCTAGGGAACAGTCTTTATTTGGGAAAGTTGATAAGCCCTAGTTGTTCTTAGTATATAACTAGTCTTAACTATTCAAATCCTTCAGAACAATAGGGTTAATTTGTTAGCCTCATACCGATGACAACACACGGGAAAATTTCCAATTGCATTGATTAGCCACAACTTATTTTTAATATCGTCAAGTTTTTTGGGACTGAATTAAAATTTGTTCAAAGTAATTTAGATTAATTTAATCGTTTCTGTAGTTTAAAAAGTAATAATGTCTTTTCCAGCACACCATGATGTACCTCCGAGGCTCCTTAGCGATTCTTTCTTGCGAAGCCAGTTCCTAGAACGTGGCTACAAATTCAACCTCTTCACGTCGTTGAACCACCAAGAAATAAATAAAGGAACACATAAAATATGAGATAAATCTAAAGTGAATAGATGAAGGAATTCTACGGGTATTATGAGATGAAAAACATTCCTGTAATCCTGAGATAATTGCTGCATTTATTAACCCATTTGCACAAAAGTTACTTTTCCTTGACGTAAAACCAGTTTAAATTCTCCAATCTGGCCAACAAGTGTGGCCATTTGGAATCATCACCATGAATGATGGGCATGAAAATTATTTGGAATCATCACCATGAATGATGGGCATGAAAATTATTAACTCAATGCAATCTCCTTACATGATTATTTTACAAGTCTCATAGACCAAGCCAAATTTCAGATCCTCTATGAAAGTTTTATGTGTCATTTCACTCCTAAAAAGTCTTAATTGAAAGATTCAGAATTTTCGTATCACTAACTCAATCAAAGCAAGCTAAAGTTTTGAGATAAAATTACGGGGAAAATGTGTATCATTCTAAAGGATACAAAGTTATGTTATTTTAAGTGAGAGAAAGAAATAAATCATGGAAGAGAGAATGAGTAGAAAAAGTTTTAAAAGTGTGGATCCCACCTCTTTGTGAGAGTGAAAGGATATAAGTTAAATGACACACTTTTTTCCCTAAAAATATTATCAACCTAACATTTTTTTTTATCTAAAGTATCCTACTCAATATTGTAAAATCCGGACCGGACCGGCAGGATCGACCGGGAACCCAGTGAACCGGTCATTTGACCGTTTCGGTTATCACATTGGATTGGCGAAGTACCAGACTCGGTGCGACCCGGTCGGTTTTGATGAAAACCAGTGACCTGGCCCGGGTTTTTTCAAAAAATATATTTCCAAAAAAAATAAATCATAATTGACATATTTGAGTGATTTATTACTTTGGGCTTACATAAGTTATGTACCTACAATACTAATATTATCTCAGTTATGTACTATGAAGAGAATTTTGATTTGATTTATAGTTAAAGATATCGTTTACTGAACCTGAAACACCAATATCACAAGCATTATGTGTTTGTTTGATTCTTTATTGGACAATAACGTATAATTTATTATTTTTTATATTAAAATATTTAGAATTTATATTATTTTTGTTAGCTATTTGAGTATGTTTATAATTTTTTAATATAAATTATAAATTTATTTATAATTACCGGATCATGCAGTTTAACCATTGACCCAGTGACCGGGTACCTCGACTGGCCGATTTTAATAACATTGATCCTACTATCTATTTTGGTGTGAAAATAAATGTAGCAGTATTTAAAAGAAAAACAATTCACCAAAAAGAAAAAAAGAGAGAGAAATGAGCTCATAAAATAGAGTCTATTTTCAGTACAAGGAGAATAGATACTCTCTTATCAAAAAGGAAGAAAAAAAGATATAGAAGTAAATAAACATAAAAATAAAGGTAGTGTAAATATATATTTTTTTTCTAAAAAAAAAAAAATAGAAGGATAAGATTAGAATGGAACAACATCGGTATAAAAAAAAATAGAAAGACCAAAATCTAAATAAATAAAAAATTAAATAATTAAAATCTTATTTATACTTTTTTTCTTCTAATTGACTGCAATGTGTTGATAGATTATTGTGAACCATAAATCAAAGAAATGAAGCTGCATCAGGTACTAAACGCTGCGTTTTTGAATGGGGGATTGTGCGTTTACCTAGCTAAATTATTAGGTTTGATATTTTCAAGGAAGTACGGACACTTGTAAAAATGGGAGAGTCGTGTCCGACACACTCCGATACGGCGACACGTTCCGACACGGTGTTGGACACGCGATCAACTTTTTTCGACACGCGAATTTGACTGTGTCCGACACGGTCAAATGACATTTCTGTAATTTTTTTTAATTTTTTTTTAATTTTTTTTAAAAATTAAAATATATTAATAAAGTTTTCACCTGATCATATCAATTTTATTTTTTTGTCTTTTTTTTCCTTAAGTAGATAAGAGATCATCTCAGCATCATTGTTGTCAATTCCTATCACGCTCTTGTTGTATCTCCTTCTCTCTGATGTCTCTCTAATATGATTTGATCTCTCTATCTGATATTATATCTCTTTCTTATCCCAGTTCTTATTTTTTTTATTAAAGCTTCCATCTTTATAACGTGTTGATGAGTATTATTAATTTAGTTTCATTTTTTTGTTAAATTATTAAATATTAAATGAAATATACACTACATAAATTAAAAATATTATTTAATATTAAAACGTGTCCCAACCTGTCGAAATCCATAATTTTTTAGGATTGACATGTCAGAGTGTCGTGTCGTATCGTGTCACGTGTCGTGTGTCGTATCGGTGCTACATAGGATATTTCTTATATTATAAGAGATAAAATTATCTCCTACACATGCATAAAAGTATTGGAATCCATACGAGCCAATATGAAAGAAGAGAAAAAAAAATACTTTTATAACATGAGAGTCGTTCAACCCAAAGTTAAAACTTAAAATCGTTGATATGGGCTTAGCTCAAAGATAACCCTAAAACCCAAAGTATGGCTCTCTTTGATGAGCCCATTTATTGATGGGCTTTGCTGGGCTTAACCCACGGAGCCCATCGATTTGTGGCTAAGCCCACGTCATGCCGTCTTCTTCACTATCGTCGATCCTCAGTTCTCGTGTGAGAATTGCTCTTATTTTCTCTGTCTAGGAACTAATCACGTTCACTCAAACTTCTCTCTCCTCCTATGAGCTGAACCTTCAGGTAAATAATCCTTAATCACAATTTTCTTTTTGTTTTATTTTATTTTTTATCTGAATTGCAGAAAATAAAGCGTTAGGTGTTTATTTATTAGGTTTAACTTATTTATTATGTTTAACCTCAACAAATTTTTTTTCTTTTTTCTTGTTTTATTCGTTATCTGATGTTCGCTGATTTGAATAAAGCCTCGAAAACATAAATCTTAAACTTCCAAATGATTATTTGATTTATACTGCAGTACATGTATTTATTGTTGGATAACTCTTAACTGCATAAGACAACTAGCTGAATCTGTTAGCATAGTTTGTAACAAACTAACTGAAACTGTTGTAACAAACTAACATCCAGCCAACTGTCTAACAGGTAACAGCTAATTATAAAAATAGCTCCTCATTGAACCCCGACTAGCGAGGGTTTGCAGAGTCTGTTTCCTAGATTTGAACTCGTAACCTTTTAGTCACGAAGAAGTAGTTTTACCACTACTCCGACTCACCCTCTCGGAGCAGCTCTGTAAAGGTAAAAGCTAAATATATGGAATATAAACTGTTTTGAATATCAAACAAGCTAAATCAAATACCCACAGTATGTTTTATCATGCTATCTTGCTAATGGAAGAGTTATGGATATGGTATGCATAGAACTTAATGCTCCTTTAAATGGTTTCTAGTGTCTATGGTGGTTTTTCTGTTGCTGAATTTTTAATCATCTTACATTAATGTATTGCAGGTAGTGTCTTTAAATAGAGAGAGATCATTTTGTTACCTGAAAAATACAACAATTTTTCTTTCCAAATGGGACTGGTTGTAATGTGTGGGCAGCCATGCAGTGGGAAGTCCAAAGCTGCAATCTGTCTGGCTGAAGCTCTCAAAGAATCAGAATTGGAACAACAAGTGAGGATCATAGATGATGCTTGCTTTCATCTAGATCGTAATCAGAGTTACGTGAATATGCCTTCGGAGAAGAATTTAAGAGGTGTGCTTAGGTCCGAAGTAGATAGGTCTTTGTCCAAAGATAGCATTATTATAGTAGATTCTTTGAATAACATCAAGGGTTACCGATACGAGTTGTGGTGCTTGGCTCGTGCAGCAGGGATTAGATACTGTGTGGTTTATTGTGATGTTGAAGAAACCCATTGTAGAAAATGGAATGAAGAAAGGAGGGAAAAAGGAGAAGATAATTATGATGATTCAATATTTGAGGATTTGGTAAGAAGGTTTGAGAAACCGGATAGAAGAAACCGATGGGATTCTCCTTTGTTTGAGTTATGGCCACACAGAGATGGGACAGATAAATCTTCTGCTGCCATTTTGGATGCTGTCTCTTACTTGACAAAAAAGGTGGACTCCAAAACCCGGGATGTTAAGATATTACAACCAACAATTGCAACTCAAACTACACGTTTTTCGGATGCAAATTCTCTCTATGAGTTGGACAAAGCAACACAGGAGGTCACCAATGCTATAGTAGAAGCGCAAACTCGCGCCCTTGGTGGGCCACTTAATGGAATTTCTGTAGGGAAAGACTTGCCCGTAATCAATATCTCAAGATCTGTTGGGTTGCCAGAGCTTCGGAGGATGCGGCGCACCTTCATAAAATTGACAGGGCAAACTAGTTTGAGTGGACCACCTCCTCCTTCTGATGCAGATAGTGCAAAAAGAATGTTTATTGACTACTTGAACAGGGAACTAGGAACTTCTTGAAGAACAATATGTGATAAGTCTTGCAAGGTAGCTTATATGTGTGCTAAAAGGTGTCTTGTTTTGTACGATTAGATATTGTGCTATTTTATATTTACTTAAGAGCATGAGTGTTGAATAAACTGCTTTTTATATTCCATCTAACTTTATTGTACTATCGTTTGATTTACTTTCCCCCACCCAAGTAATGAAGTAAAGAGGATGAAACTGAGTTCGTCACTGATCAGAACATGTCCTGGTTTGTCCTTAAGAAAGTTGAGTTGAATTGCAGTGTATTGTGCAGTGTGGTATGTCTATAACACTGACTCTCCATGGTTAAAAAGGGTATTCCCCGCCAGAAGTTATTTGCAAAGGAATCTTCTGAATTGGGTTTAAAAACTTAAAAAGATTACCAAAAGGAAGATGGTGAAAAGAATCTAGAACATAGTTTCATTTTGTTTTGGTTTTTTCATGGTTATATTCATGCAATACAATTGGGTTTAAAAACTCAAAATTAATCGAATATGGCTTACTCTTATTCGGGTACCACCCAAAGTAACCAATCCAATTTTTACTGACATTGAGTAGCGCCCTACCCTCTATCTTGCCCTTTTTTTTTTGTTTTTAGTAACATTGCATACTTTTGATGTATTATCCCAACCATAGTCGTTAAAATTTTGATTTATTATTATGATTTTATATTTTTACGATTTTTTTTCATCAAAATGATTTTATCAATATTCCAAACGCTTTTACGTTTTATGATTTTTTAGTCTCCTTTCGATTTTACTTAAAATCTCGATTTTAACAACATTGTTCCCAACCCAATTAAAGGATAACATGTGAATGATAAAGCAGTTAAATATAAAAGTTATAATAACTTCGTAGCAAAATCTAATGTTTTCCAAATCCCCTGGACGTACACAATCTTGTACCAAATCGAATCACCACTTGTCCTGCCATTGCCAACTAAGCCACGCGTGCTAGAGGATTATAAGAATACTATCAGAATTCAAAGATTCTTTGAGAAGTGAAAAAGTATCTATTACCATCTCCTATTAGAATGATAAAAAAATAATAAAAAAAAATCCACTTTTAGGGGATTTCCATCACTATCATTGAATGCCAAAGCGTTGCTTTTGATCGGTGAGATTCTTAGTTCCTTTTCATTGCAAGAATTCAAAAAATGTAATTGTTTTTTTTATTATTAGTTCCTGAAACAGTCAATGCCTAGAAGGCTTTTGAGGCTTGCGTGTAATCTTCAACTGAGTTGAGGCAACTGGTCTCACATTTGGAAGCTTTTGAAATTTCGGTCTAAGACATTTTGGTTTTGCTTAAATAACATTTACAAGTAACTATTAACACATTTGGCATCTCATACTATATTATAAAACATCTAAGATCACATTGATGCACCATATTTTGCAGTCCACACTAAGCACGCATAGTTAAGAAATAAATACTCATTGAAAGACATTTTGGCTTTGCTTAAATAACATTTAATTAACTAATACGCCTTACTTACTCATAAAAATAACAATAAATACTGGATAACCAAAGAGAACATCATCCTTGCTTACAAGTGTGTATTTATCAAAGCTAGCATAATTCTTTCCATTGCTACTTGTGCATGAAATAAAATTATCTGAGGACTTGCCAGCAAACAATTAAATGCTGATGCTTCAGATCAAGCACATAACTTTGATAATCTAAATATATGGAAAGACATAATGATTGAGTGCCTTTTTTTTTTATGTGCTAGTGACCCTAAAAGATATAGACACTGCACAAAAGCGTCCATTAGATATAAATGAGCATGAAACAACTACAGATCACTTGAGATATATTACTAAGATCAATTGGGGAAGTGAAACAATCATATCCCTATATATACAACAAACCACTGAACTGTGACAGGAATTTCACAATCCAGATGGGGGTGATCAACAGGTTAGTAGTCAACCAGGCCAGAACAATAAGATGAGCTGTGTGTCAGGGCATAACCTCTTCTCTTCAACAAAGAACCCATCCCTTTCATCCATTCTTTTTCAAAATAATGTCCCCCTCAGCCTCCCTTCAACACAGGGGCAAGCACAAAACGGCATCTTCATGCCATTCATGCATCAAAAATAGATAAATGAAGCACCTGCTGAGGGGTTCACATACTCAACCAATAAAAAATTATCGTAAATCAACTATCATCATCCACTGCACCAACATATGTAAGGTCTGTCCTTCTCACCCTTACAGCTCCTTTAAGCCAGCTGGCGGCTCGAATATTAACATGATCACCACTTCCTATGCTAGCAGTATTACTTGAAGAAGAGCAAGCTCCGGCGCCATCTTCTAAAAGCGTCCAAGGATCAATTTCCAAATCATTGTCCTGTTGTTTTGACTTCCCTGATGCATTAGCTGCAACCCTTGATAGAACCAGGTTCCTCTGAGGGATAGTTGAACTAGTGGAGTTAAACCCAGAACTTGTAATGCTTGGTTGAGGAAAAGCAAGAGCAGAAACTGAAACAGTCGGTGGCTGGCAGGAGAAAGAGCACCGCGTAGAGGGGAAGACTACAGGCATTGCAGCTTGGATATGCCACCGGATAATGTCTGGTAGTTGCATACTATCCAAGTCATTCTGCAACAAACAAAAAACCATTAGACAAGCAATGCTAGGAAGAATGTAATAAAATTTCCAGATTGCTAAATATGCAAACACAAACATGGTTACTGATAGGAAGATTAGGGATGGAACAAAAATGTAAAACAGAAAATTTAATTGAATTAAGACTCCAATTAGATATAAAACTTTTAGGTGCTCAAAGAATACCCAAAATAATAATTATTGAAACTTTCTATTCTGATTGAAGCCTAAACACTAAAAAAAGAATACTATGTTGGATCTTACGTCTGCTCCAACCAGTTTCTTGAGGTAACTTAGATTAGCATGGAATTAAACATCAAATTAGGGTTTAGGGGCTCAGTGACTAAAACCAAAAGTTGTGAACATCCATAGGCTGAAAGATCAAACCTGCAAACTCTCCAATATCTCTCGATCAACTCCAGAAAATTCCCTTGTAGATTCATTGATTGTCTTTGAAACAGATTTTGGCCTAAGCCAACTTGGAGGATGGCTACTCAACAACCCATGCAAAACCAACAACAAACGATTAAACAGACCCTCGGCTTCAGGAGCAGCAGACATTCCGGCATCCTCATGCACAACTCGGCTACCAAGGAGACGAAGAATTACAGGGGCAAGAAAATGTCTCATGTTCCGCACAGATGGTTCCCTGCGAAATTGAACATATGGAGCTCATAAACTTCCCCTAACATTCTAGCATGTAATAGTTCCACCACATATACATACATAGAAATTTTCAACAGCCAAAATCTAATGCTCAAATCCATTTTGACACAAGAAAAGAAACAAACTACCACCATCAGTACCAGCAGAAAGGACCCATAATAATACATCACATAATGGAGAACAAAGAACTGTATTTTTGAAAATGTGAAAATAATCATGTTGCAAGTAGTTCCATTTTTTTCTTCATTTCAAGAAAACTGAAAAAGGCCACAGATTTCTTTTCCCCGGATAGGTAACTACTAACTAGGTAAACAACACAATCTCATTTTCATATTATTCATCGGTCAGGATAAATATAGTGCAGCAACAATCCTGGAATGAGAAAGCTATTTAAACACAGCAATATCTAGTCTTAACTCTTAATTACCTTTCAGTGCAAAGAATAGGAAGAAATCTCAAGAGTAACTGCAATCGCAATGACATAGAAGCACGTAGGGCGGCAGGAGATGGTGGAGAAGAATCTGTTGCAACTGTTGGTCGTCTAGCTAATCCAGGGCTGCCACCTCTTATAGCTTTGCGGTTGTTTACTTTATTTGTCTGGCCTTCAGTTCCAGCAGGGGTACTTCCCACTGGCTTACTTGCCCCAGGTGTAATACCAGTTATTTGTTGCTCAATAGAATTTAATTGTTTCATCAAATCATTTGCAAAGGAATTGCGGGAATCATCAGAGCTTTGATCTATGCAAGGAAGAAGTAACTCAATAAGAGCCCTCTCAGTCACATGCTGCTGGTTACTGCTTGAGCTTTCAGAGTCAAACACTTGAGAGAACCCTTTTAGGCACCTTTTCGGATCCGTTCCCTCTTCAACAACTTCTCCTTCTTCAAGAGATGTGGTATCAAACTTCTTTTTATCCCCCTTGATAGTCACTGGATCAGTACAAGGACTACACCAGCCCCATGGCTCCCAAAATTGGGTTTTAACAGAAAGTCCTTTACTCTCGGCAATGTTATGTAGCCTTTGTCTAATGGTCTTCCGACCATAGAGAACATCCTGGCCTCCAAGGAACCATTTAGCTAGCAACAACATTGAATCCTCTAGTGACCTACCAAAGAGATGAACCAACTCTGCAAAAAGGGGTGCAGCATCAGGTCTAACGAGTAACCTTGTGAGAAGTATTTGAATAAAATTTTTCTCATTTTCAGAATCAGCAGCAGCCTTCTCTGGATGAGGTGAGGACAAATGTATAGCATCAGCTAAGGACAGGTCATGTGTGTCCAGTTTTTCAATGAGGGCTTGTTCATTTAAAAGCAACCTGAGTGCAACCCACTGCCAGTGAAATTTGGCAGGTTGCAAGGCATCTAAAACATGCACAAGCTTATCCTGAAGCTTAGACTCACTATCTGTAAACTGAATTTTAGATTCACTGGGTCCAGAAATCCGGCTCCCATCATCCTTTGTATAAATAGATTGTGGCATCTTACAATCAATCATGGCATTAAGAAAGAGTCTAGACCGGAGAGGAACAAATGCCATAGATTTTAAATGAATATCAGAGCTGTTCAACTCTAGCAAGGAAGCAAATTCAGTATCACTTGCATCTGCAGCCATAAGATCATAAAGACCCTGACAGTCTCTAAAACATACATCTCGAAAAGGCAAATGTTTTATTGCATCAGCTATTGCCATTGTTAGTGACTGATGAAGATGATTCATGTCTTCACGAACAGTAACATTTGCATTCAGGATGAAGGGCCGCCACTTAACAAAGGCAAATATTGAATACGCAGGAGGAAAGACCAAACTTAGAGGAAGCATACGTTGCATCCTTGAAAGAGCTATAATAGATGGTTCACCCAAGAGTTCCCCTACCAATCCTTCACAGACAGTTCTGCAGTTTCCAACAAGCAATCTAAACCAATGGACGTGAACTTCAACAGAACTATCAACCTTAAAAGCCCCAACTGAACGAGCATTTCCATTTGAATTGGATCTGGTGCTTCTTACAAATTGTACTACATCGAGCCCCTCCTTTAATCTAAGAATGGTTACCATTCTTTCCAGGCTGGTAACACCATATATAACTGCACCAACAACTAGTGCAGAAACAGCAGCAGCAATTTTTGTTGTTTTGGCAACCACAACTTTACTAGAGTTGCTTCCCACATCGTTGGAAATAGGGGTACCACTTTCATGGGCTTCAGGAGACATTTGAAACTGAGCTCGAGATGCTTTGCTAGGAGCAAAAACACCAGCAAGAGCAGTAGAAGCTTCGGTTGCAAGAGCAATATCAAACACACGGCTTTGGCGTTCTCCCAGGGCTTCCTTAAGCAGGCACAGACAGGTTACATGCATTCGCAGAATGCATCTGGCATAGTTCAATGAACTTGTTGCTGAGATTACATTTGAATGATTAATGACAGATGAAAAATCAGGCATTTTTGCTAAATTTGGACCAATGCTGCCAACAATTGCAGAAACGGCAGAAGAGACCAAAGATGGATCCCCTTCTTGGGCAGCACCGCCAGTCTGCCTTATGGTGTCAATCAGACCCACAACTATTTGTTGAGCAATTTGATATCCATTATCCCATTTTTCTAAAGCAGGACCTTTTGGTGTTCCAGCAGTAAAGAGCTTTCTGTCTTTTCCAAAAAGATAGTGGAACGCTTCTTCAACATTACGCTGCACTATGTCTCTCATGCCTGCACCTACTCTGGATGGCAACCGGCCACCACTTATCTTCTGACGGAAAAAATCATCAGGGTCCTCAATTCCTGCAGGAACTCCAAGGGGAATCCCTAACTCTCCTCCATCCACTGACCTTCCAATCTCAAGTTCGGAGGAAAGTCTTGCATCACATGTAGTCTTAAAAGTTTTCTCCCACTCAATGACACTAGTCACATTGCTGTATTTTTTCAATAAATACCGAGTAAAAGCTAGGGCTCCTGAACCTGACACCCTTCCATTAGATGCAATAATAGTGGCAGCACGATGCATTGCAGATGACAAAGCTTCAGGAATAAGGTCAGCTGCAACAAGAATGTTCTCATACCTGCAGCAAATGCAATGCAGGAACAGGCCTTAACAAAATATTTCATATCCCAAAAATCCATACAGAAACTGTCCAACACAAGCATAAAGAATAAGAGGCAAAGATTTTTCATAAAGCACCGGTTGAACAACAAAGCTGAGAAATAATTTTTTTTTTAGAGAGGAGGGGAGCTGGATAGCCCATAAAAGATCATAGAAACCTCACTGAAGGTTCAGCAAACTTGAACAATAACTTATAAAAAGAACAACAATGATTTGGGTTTCATTTAGGTATTTCTCAGTAGATGATAGCACTGCAGATTTAATTGATACAGACCAGATTTAAGATGACAAAAAAAAGGAGCATAAGAAGCACTTGGATGCAACAGCTTACCAGATACTTTGTAGAAGATAGTATTTCTATCACACATTTAAAAGGTGCTAAGTTATTGAAAAAGTAGCAAACATCACAGGAATTAGAAGGGAAACTTGGATAGGAGGAAGAGCAATTAAACAAATAAAAGGAACAAAATACAAATATTTTCCCAGAGACAACTGACAAAACTAAATAAAATTGAGTGCAAAACTGCAAACCTTCTGAGTGATGATAACAGAAAAGCCTCTCCCACAACACAAACTTGGTTTTCCACATTCCTTGGCAGCATGAGAAGGTTCCTCCCGCTATGAATTGTAGAATTGGGACTATTGAGAACCTTCGGCAGCAACCAGAGGAGGAACTTGACAGCTGATACTAAATCATCAGAGATATCCATCAAATAAAGTATTGCAGAAAGTTCATCCTCACCAAGTTTCCACCGTATTGAGCTTCTATCATCCACCATAGGAAAGGGCCTCCCAAATTGACCAACTTTACCAACATTTCTTTCAGTTTCTTCAAGCACCTGCCTAACAACAGTTATCAACCAAATTGCTATTGCCCTTTTCTCAACAAAGCGAAGCTGCTTTAGTGCTTTTCCAATGGAGACAATATCCCCACAATGACTTGTCCGCGTGCTATCCACAGACCTTGGTGTCTCTCCATCCATAGCAGTTTTATGGTGAGGGCAGTTTACCTTATTATCACACACATGACTAGTTGATGCCCCTTGGCTACCCTCAATTCTAGAAGCTGCCAGTTGAGCAAGACTCTGAGTTTTGCGCACATTCTTCTGCCGACTCTTAGTAGTCTGCTTGGTAGACTTTAGTGGTTGATCAACTCTGAGAGTCTCTGAAGATTTCAGCCCCTTCTTCACCCACCATGTATCGTCATCATCTGATAGAACTGGAGAATGACCATGAACAAACAAGCTCCTTTCCTCGCTTAATTTTTGTCTCTTTGCTCTTCTACATTCTTCACACCCCGGTGTACCCTCCACTGGATCAATCTTGCTGTACTGAGACCAGATAGGTTTTCTGTACTGAGACCAGATAGGTTTTCTAACACTGCCTTCAGAGTCATCACATCCTGAAGTGCTCAAATTAGATAAACTATTAGGTAGCTGTAACAGTACTGAGATGGCTGCTTTCAGTTCTTCAATGCTAGCATCATCCTTGCCATTTTTAGAAGATATAGTGTTAGAAAGTACAGGTTTCCACTGATCAACTGACACTGTAGAAGCTCCATCCTTTGTAGAAGCTGGCTTTCGTTTTTGCTTCGGGGCCGATATATTGTTGGCACTACTGGCATCATCACGGTGCTCACTCAGAGGACCACGAAGTATGAGACGGCGTTCATTCAAGTAAATTTGCAAGGTTTCAATGAGCTGCAGGCCTTCAACCATCCCTGATTCTTCCAGAGCATCATGCACAAAGCGTCCAGGAAGCTGCTTTAAGATGCGATAGTGTCTCTGCCGTCGCTCCATGTCAACCACATTTACATTCATATCCATGATCCCACTCACTATCAGCTGGCGTACATATGCCAAGGGGTAAAAGATCCCTGCACGTATGAGTTCCACTATAAATAGATGTAGGCGCTTGAGACCTTCCCCTTTATGCACTACATGCTGATCAATCCAACAAACTATAATATCGTGGAGAGGACCTGGGCTTTCAAATATAACTGAAGAACTGGTGCTCTGGTCCAAATATTTTGCACTAGATTTTAATTTGGATACATTATGATGCTGATTTGAATATTTTGCAAAATAACTGCCTCTGTGTTTGCTCTGATTTGCTTTTCTTGGTGAAATCTTCACATCCCTCATCTTCATCTTTAAAAGTCTAACTGCTATATGCACTTGGGAAAGATCTTTCCTACCTGTAAATTTTATGTCACAAGGAGGGGTAGTACGAAAATCCCTGAAATCACAGGTTGCCCACTCACAAAGGAAAAATACTGAATATATAAGTGATGTATTTACACTCCCAAACCATTTGAGTGATAACCTTAAGCAAGGGCTTACTTTCGAAACCCAAACTTCAGATACAGTTACATCACAAAGATCTTCAAAAAGAAACTTATATGCTAGACCTAAATCACCCAGCACAAGAGATTTATCCAAGGCTTTTGCAACTTTAGCCAAACAATGACCTGTATAGCCTGGGCTTGCAGCTTTTGCAAGATTTTCTGCATGTTTCTGAATGCAGGAAATAATATGACCAAAATCATCTGCACTATTTTTTATCTTCCCAGTAGCTTCAGTTGACTTTAGTACAAAATTCCCATCATTCATTGTATGTGAAACCACAGACGATGGTAAAGGAAAGCAATCCAGAGCCACAAAAGTATCTGGCGCTGCAAGTATTAAATACCGGAGCATCTCAATCAGAGCGTAAGTTGTATATGCCCTCCTGGAATTATCTACTAGATCTGATCCACCTGGAGCAGGATCACGAATGACACGAAGAGCTAACCCAGCAAGAGTGCGTACGTAAGTTTGAGATAGAACAACAATTTCTAAAAAGCCATATATAATAGGCAATAACAGCTGCCAAACCTCAAGCAGTTCTTTTTCCTGAAAGGAACAGATACGTCAGAAATCAAAACCTGAAGGTTAAAATCAGCAAAAGATATAAACTGCACGCTTTATTTTCATGAGCACATAAATCTTGCTATATGCAAATGATGTAAAAGGTAAATACCTGTAGTTGATTCAAAACCCAATCAATGACAAGAGAAGGAAAAAGCAGCCCTTCAGCATGATGCCATTGCAGAAGCCGCACAATATACCACCATCTAAAATGTAAAGATGGCTCTTCACCATCAGAAACAGATAATAATGAATCACTTTTGTGCTGCAGTGATCCAGTATAAGGCATTTGTGGTGATCGCTCTCGGCTATGAGGAGTAGAATGAGAAGGATTTTTTGAGTAAAATTCTTCCAGAAGAGTATGCAAATAGTTGATAACATCTTTGGTCCAAACCTCAGAACGAGACAGCTGAATTTTGTCAGCAGTCCCAGAAGAAATACCAACAGAACCAGGTCTAACCTGAAAAGTTCAACCATAATCTACCATCAAATATTAAAAATATAAAGTAACTCAGCATAATAAGTAAATATACCAACATCAAAGCATCCCAACCTGATTGAGGTAAGTAACCTTTATAAACCAGGTGGCCCTCAGCAATGGAACATTATTCTTGATAAGAACCTCTAAAAGTGATGCCCTTTTATAACCATGAGGAACATGATCAGCCAAAGAGCGTAGTCGCTTGTGCTGTTGAGATAAGCCCTACAATAAAATTTTGACTGAGTTACTGAAATACTAGCATCAGTAACATCCCAAGACATTAAGAACAACCAAGTAATATCGACAGCAATATTTGAGGAATTGGTTATAGTAACTTGTATATCAACAGTTCTACAAGTTCATGAATAGCTACAGCCTGTACCGGACTATTCAGCATATTAACATATTCCAGATCCCTCCATATTCACACCCTGCCTCCAGACAGATTAAGACTACAATTATCCACTCAGAAAATACAAAACTTTCAAGACCTTGTTTCATATAACATAAGCAAAATTAGAAACATATAAGGGGCCACAGTTGTTATAAGTTGCACAACAAAGAGAGCGATAGGACCAAGACTATAACTAACTATACCTCAATCCATTTCTTCCGGAAGTCCTCACCAGATGGCCTTAGCTCAGGGAAAACACCAGGCTTAGCAAGTTGTGATCCTGAAAGAGCCACACCATATACTTGACCAGCCTGTCAAGGTAAAGACTATCATTTAGCTCAAATACCATCATAAAAACTGAGATAGGTAGACTGCACCAAATCCAAAATAAGCTCGAAGAAAATACGTGAATATGGATGCATTATAGAAGCAGAATGTTCTGCAAGGATAAATAGATAACAAGACAGAATGAAGATCATCACCTTCCTCTTCTGAGCACGAGATTCATTAATGGCCCTTAGACGTTTTCTGATGGCCTGGAAAGAAGATGAAAAACCAATGAGTTAACCTATATCCACATAGGTTTCCAATGATACAAATTAAAAATAGAAAATGTGCAGTAAAAAAGATAAATAAAGTGGACGTAAATTTCTCACAAAGACACGAGACAAGGGAGTCACCTCTTTGCAATTAAGAACAATTGTCTTGTTGAAATTTGGAACCTGGGTCAGTGAAATTTCTCTAGCTTCCTGAGAGACACGGGAAGCAAAGCAATGTTAGAAATAGGAGACACCAGACAAAAGGGCAGGTTTGAACAGTTGGAAATAATCTATACTTAAGAAAGCACAAGTTGATTTTCATTTTTCAATGACTCGTAAAGGAGAGCTAATCCTCAAGAATTCACACATGCCTAGATCACTATTCAATTACGTTGAGCAATAGGAGATCCAGATAAGAAATTTGAAAGTAAAATCTGTAATATCAATTTCACTGACACTAGCACACGGATACAAACAAATACAATCATGATACAATCCATTTATAACAGGACCATCATGCCAGCATACGAATTATTAGAAGCACCAACCACAACATTGGCAATTATAATACCAGCCAAAGCAAAGATAACTGATTTTGATAAAACACCAGACTGCTTTTACACTTGCAGTTTTGTAGCTACTCCCTATAGCTGGGATCATGGTGTGAAAGCAAAAATAATTAATTGGAGGAAGCAAGGCTAAAATGAAAAAGACAGTATAACAACTTGAATCTGATGAGATTGAGGCAGCATTATGAAGAAATTGCTAACATGTCTAAGAGAAAGAAGGAGAAAAAAAGTGATAGGTATTTACCAATCTATTTCCTTTTCAGATGAATGAAGAATTTCACTAAAAGAAAAAGTATGATACCCTGAATAAAGATTAAAATGCTGGATGGTGGTTTCAAACTTTCAATTACCCTGAACATAATACACCAAAAATAGTTCCAACATATGAAGGCCCAACATACAAATATTCAAAGTTCAAACCTTAATGAAAAATCAATAAATGGGTAACTGAATAAGTATAACCCAACACTCATCAGCTAGGTAGCTACTTTAAAATAATGATTTGATATAAACACAAGTAAAATTAAATGACGTACCTCAAGTCCTTCAACTGTATCCTTATATCCATTTTGCAAATATTCTCTGGTCAAAGTCTCCTCAGGGCAATTTGGTGTCTGGGGATGAAAGTCTGGTGCCCCAAGCCTGAGATTAAAATAAAGCATTTAACATTTAAACATACATGATAATAACATTCTGTTAGCTTAATGCATTAGAGTAACAAACAAACAAAAGCTGATAAACAAGGGGGATAAGGGAAAGATATCTATCATACAAGCAAATTTTTTGAATGTAACAGTATATATGAAAATTTCACACCCCAAAAAATCATAGTATAGCTGCTATTTATAAACTAAACGTAAGCAATGATTCAAAAAGTGTGCTGTTATGAAGAGGAACTACCTAGAGTTCAAGGGTTCTTTATCACACTTCAACTTGTATGGGTTTAACTGTGGCTGACGCCTGCAATTGTGTTCAAAGTGATTACCAGCATCAGATTTCACGTTTAGCATATTAAAAAAGAATAATATACCACTATATTACTAAATAAACAAAACAATAAAAATGACACTTTCAGAATATTAGATCAAGCAAATATAAATAATGTTTCAAAGCCAAGTACATAAAGGGCGAACCCCATTGCACAAGGCTCCCCAACTTTGAGAAGGTAGGAGTCTATGCAACCTTACCCTTGCATTTTTGTAAAGTTGTTTTCTAGACTCAAACCTGTGATCTTCCGGTCGCAAAGGAGGAACCTTACCACAGCTCCAAGGCTCACTTTCAAAGGCAAGTAAATATGAATTCAAAATGCAATTATTAATAACCGAATGGTTAGATCAAAATAAAACTCTCAACATGTGCTCTCGAATTTAATTCTTTATATAAAAACTACACAAACCCCTGTTACAGTAGCTGGATTTGGACTGAAATTTCTTCAAAACCATCTAAAAATTTTAAAACAAATCCACTAATCCATTCCAAAAAAAAGCAAACATCTTCACCAACAGTCTAATATAGCAGTTTTCACCTTCCAATGATTAAACAGTATTCTGAAACTATGAAGCAGCCCTAGCTAGATTAAAGGCAGACTAGGGTTCTTTTGCAAAAAGAGTCTCCAGATCAGAAGCTCTAATATCAACTTAAATGGAAAAATAATGAATATTATTTCTGAACAATTTTCTACATGGGTTCATTCTAATACATAGACCTAGCTAAATAATAACTTTTCCTAATATAATGACTACACTATGGTAAAAGAATAAAAATCACTACCCATTAAACCCCGACTAGCGAGGGTGGAGTGAGGGCAGCCCTTGTACACTTGCATAATTGCAAAGAGGTTGTTTCCTGTATTCGGATCTGTGCCCTTTCAGTCACAAAGGAACAACTTTATCACTACTACTCCAGGTTTACCCTTCTTTAAACTATGGTAAAAGAATATTTTACAATAATTACAATAGTAAACAGAGAATATTATTTGGTGAAGTATGTGGGACTGTTGTTGGGAATATTACTCTCTCTTTTTGAATAAAATCTAGCAAAAACCCAAAGCTCCCTCTAAGGTGATGCCTTATATTTGGATTGTGGTACTTAATAGAATTAATATTAATGACATGGTAAACGTTCTAACTTCTAAAGCCACATAAAACTCTTTCTCCTAATGTGTGTAATGTGTGGTGCCTGACCAGAATTTGTTCTTCACCTGTTCTTACATTTTTTCTATTGCGATCTCTTTGTGACACTCCTTATTTGGGATTTTCGGTGAATGTTGGGTGTGTACTTGGACCAATCTTTGATGATTAGCTTTCATCGCTTTGGTAAAAGTAAAGAGGCTAAATTTTTGTGGCAATTAGCAATCTATGCAGCAACTTGGTTTCGGTTGGAGTGGAACTCTCATATTTTTAAGGAGGTTTCTTGGGTTCATCATTTGATTTAGGATAGGATTAGACTTTTGTCATCTAATTGGTGTAAAGCTCATGGCCTTTTGAATGAGGTTTCAATAACATATGTTGAGGGATTGGAAAGCTTCATGACAATGATTTTATTTTGATTTTTTATTTATGTTTAGTTCTATTCTTTATCCTACTTTCTCTCTGTAATTTTTTTTTTCTCTCTACTTCAATCAACTTCTTTTTCTAACACAATATATGTACATATATGTTAACCAATCCAACAATAAATACTTGCTAAGTTTGCAGAACAAAAGCAGAACTTAAATAAAATAAAAAACTTGCATAAACACTTTAACATTTCTTCACTTATTAAGTCAACATGTATTATTAAAAATTCTTCCTACAAATTTTAGTTAACAATCTCATAAAAAAAAAAAAAAAAACATATTTATAGAAGAAAAAAATATCAAAATCAGATGCAAACTTCACCATTGTACCGAACAAACATAATCAAAGTTGTGAAAACCTTTCAACCCTATATCTACCAATTTTCTTACAACTAATACGGTCAGACCTTGCTAGTTGCAACCATGGATACAATTATGAAACCTAATATTGCTTGCTCATCTGATCATCCAAAGCATCAATGGTAAATAGATTAATAGAAAAGAAAATAAAAGGAAAATGTAAGCAGAGGACACTCTTAAATTTCTCAAGCAATTAAATGCGTATGAGCTGAAAATCAATACTTAGAATATTCTGATCACTCAAGAAATAAATGAACCCCACTCAGAAGTAGTTTTCCACATTTTTTAAAATGATGTTAATCAAATGGAAATAAAAATAAAAATCATTAATGCATATATTAGGTAACAGAAAAAGCAAACCATTGTGTATCATAAGCACAATTATTTGAAATATGTAGTAGCTTTGTCAAATATGCTATAGTCACAATCATTAAGAAAAAGAAATTGGCAACAAGGGGACAGTGTCAGGAGGAATTACCTTGAATTTACAGGGAAATTAGCTGGCAAAGATGAATCAGATCTTCCAGTGTCCCTAGCAGATGGCCCACCAATTGCACTGTTATTAACTGCACTAGTGCAGCTGCCACCATGATACCTTTGCATTTCCCCCAACTATAGCCTGCATACTGCCCTCAGCATCATACCACTGCAAGTTTCCCTAATAGCTAAACTGCAAGATCAAAAGTTTCATCCAAGTCATTTCCAGCCAATGCCAATTAAGCAAACAAAAAGGCAAATAAAAAAAAAAGTGAAGGAAACAGGATGTATAATTGAAAAAAGGATTAGCGCATATGGCTAAGCATTATTGGACTTCCTTCAACCACGAAAGGATATGCACTGAAATCCTAATACACCAAAAACTATATATCCCAAATTTAGACCCATTGGTGGACCCCAAACATGCAAGGCTGATTCTTATATTCTGACTTGTAAGGATACAAATGGATAGCAATTAAAAATATACAGTGCCCCAAATAACTCGTGATATCAAACTTTAGTCTCCACACTACTTTTGGAATGCTAGACATAAGATATATTTAGGAAAATAAAAGAATACAAAATCCTAAACTCTAGTCCACACTGAGTCCAGTTTTCACAATATAAAACCCAATCCGGCTGCTGGATGAAAGAAAATTTAAACAACTAGATAGTTATAATCAGAAACCAGAGTTGACAATTAATACCCCCATATAAAACCATTAACTTCTAAAAAAGGCAAACATAACCAAGCAGTTAGAAAATTTTAAATATATACCTCAAAAGCATCTTCTCTGCTATACTACCGATAACACGACAACACCAATGTCATAAATCAATTAAAAAAAAAAAAGACAACCTGATACTATAAAACTCTGGCAATGCAAAGGGTCCAGTAAAGGGTGAAACTCATTGTGTGGGTCTATAGTAGGCAGCCTTACCTTGCATTAACAAGAAACTGATTACACGAATCAAGCCAGAGACTTCCTGCTCAAATAGCAACAACACCTATTGTAAGCAAATGGCAAAGGAGATGAATCAGATCTTCCAGTGTACCTAGCAGATGGCCCACCTATTATACTGTTATAAACTGCACTACTGCAGCTGCAACCATGATACCTTTGCATTTCCCACAACTATAACCTGCATACTTCCCCTTACATAACGACAACGGCTACCGTATAACGACAACACCTACCGTATAACGAACACCTACTGTATAACGACAACACCTACCGTTGTACCAAGGCTCCCCTTCCAATGTCTTTAATAAGAGAATAGAAATTTAAATATTGAGGTAGAGTGTAACTATCTAAATTGGTAACTTCCATTAAAAGTTTTCTAGAGATGTGTTCCAATGAAAATAAAAAATGGAAATAGTATCATATGAAGTGCCAACTCTTGAAACTAGAATATAAACTTATGGCCAATCATTTAGTTGTAGCCAGAGTTATAACTCCAATCCATATCTGAAGTAATAAATTACAAGAGACAACAGAAAGTTGCAAAATCTAATCAAATCACTTCGGATCCACAAGTACAATCCAAAACTCATTGACAACAGTTAAGAATTTATTTGTAACATGTTCCCTCCCAACTCAAAATGAAATACCTAGTAGCTCATATTACCCTCTAAACCAACTAGGGCACCAAATGAAACTTCTTCAGATGCAAGAGACAAACTAGAAGACAACCCACCAGCTTAATCGTCTAAAATTCTCAGCTCAATATCAAATGCAAGCTATCCACATGGGGTTTAACATGTAATTGCGAAAACCTAATGCGAGGGGGGGGGGGGGGGGAAAAACTCCGAAATTTCAACTCCGAAGCAAGATCCAAACCTAGGGTTTTTGGGGCGAAATCCTAAACTTATAATTCCATTTTATTTTATTTGTTTTTCCCCCAACTTCAGAAGCTAATTGCTGATGTGAAAATCTAGGGTCCCGGGAACTAGGGTTTCCGATTGGGAATTTCGAAAAAAAAGAAGAAGAAGAAGGGGGTTTTTGAAATAATGGGAAACATGGTTCAAGATTATTAAAAAGGGAAAGATGGGGCATACCTGAGATGAAATTTTTTTGGAACTTTGAGTGAAGGGTTTGTAGAGAGAGAAAGTAGGAGAGAGAAAGAGAGATTGAGAAGAAAAAGAAGAAGGATCTGAAGCTGTTGATGACCTTTGACTCTCAGTTTTTTTGGGTGGTGATGACGACGAAGATGATGCCTCTGTTGTTGCTTCCTCTGATAGGAAAAAAAAAAAAGGGTGAAGGGGAAGGGATCTACAAATTATTATTGTTAATTATTATTATTTTCTATGTGTGCTTCTTATTCCTGTTATGCCCTCCTATTTTGATCTTATTACATGAAATTGTCATGAATTCTTATTTGATGGAGACAAGTTAGTGGGGGCAAAATTGTCAAACTATTTGCAAATGCTATTTTTTTTTTGGTGAAATGCAAATGCTATTTAATAATATAGAAATGTGTTTTGTTGGTGTGCTTTAATTGCTTCAATACACCCAAATTGTATATCTTGTCCTACTACTAATTTTAAAATATATATATATATATACTAGTATATTACCGTACGATGTACAGGAAAAAAAAAATTAGTCGGTTTGTCGAAAAAAACTTGTCGAAGTGGAAAAAAGAGTTACATATCATTTTTACTATCACGAAGCGATTGTATAGCATTATAGTCAAAAAAATATATATTTATCACAACGCATCCAAGGCTTTTTGACCCTTTTGCCCCTCATTAAATAATTAATAACCAATTTACCCCTCCCCCAGAACTATCCACTATCTTGCCCCCATTTAGTCGATTAAGTTGCACTTTTAATCGACTAAATGGGCAAAACTCAAAAATCATGAAACGTGAATTTTAGTCGACTAAAATTTCACCTTAATCGACTACATTCGTTGCACTTTTAGTCGACTAAGCCCATTATTTTGTCGACTAAATATCGCAGATCAGGTTTTTTAAAAGAAAACCCATTTCGCAAAGGGGGTTATTTTCAAACCCTAATCGACTAGATCGCTCCATTCCGTCCCCTCTCTCCAACAAGTCCGAATCTCAACCCTTGAAGGTGCGATTGAAGCATCATTGGTTCACACTTGCGAAATCGACATTTAGGTAACGTATTCTGACTTGCATTTGGTTTTAGGTTTAGGTTTTTTTTTTGTTTTCTCCATGCATTTGATTTCTGTTTGCGGTTTTGTGGATTTAGGTTAGGGGTAGGGTGTTAAGTTTGTTGTGAGGGTGAGGGTGAGGGTTAGGGTTAGGGTTAGGGTAGGGTTAGGGTTAGGGTTAGGGTTTATGTTGCTGTTTTGTTTGGGTTGTAGTGTTAGGGTTGATGTTTTTATGTTAGGGGCTAGGAATGGTTTTTTGTGATGTGCTAAGGTTAGGGTTAGGGTTTGGGGTGCTGTTTTTGATTGGGTTTCTGTTTTAGGGTTAGGTATAGGGTTTGTTTTCTGTTTTATTTTAGGATTAGGTTTTGTTTTTTATATTGAATTTTAAATTTTTTGATATTGTTATTGCTCATTGATATTGTTTCCACTTGCATTGTAGGTACAGTTGTTCCCATGGCTGGTCGTAGAAGATCGTCTAGCACTGGAAATGAGAGACGACAGAAGCTACGACAAGACCGTCCGTCTTCGTCAAGGCCACAAGAGGAAGAGGCCGCTCCTATCGACCTCCCATTCGGATACTTGTTCGAGAATGACCCTGTGGTTCATGAATCATTTGTCCGTGACTTTGTTAACCGACCGATATGTGGGGCCAAATCACTTGATACAGCCTTTTTTGAACAAGAAGGTTTTAACATTGTGAGGTGGTTGGAGGAATCACATCTTAGGACCTTGGCTGAACTGTCGTGTTCATATTTTGAGCTGCATGTACGGGCCTTCTACCATAACCTCAGCTACGTACAGGGTGAGTTGAGGTCTAGGGTCTGCGGGGTGGAGATCATCATGACGGCTCCGGTATGGTTGGAGTTACTGGGGTATGACTTTGATTCTGCGCAGACTGTGGAATATGACGCAGACAACGGGACCATACTTCCAAGATATACACGAGGTGATGCCGTGCAGGAGCAGAGAAGAGTCTGTGGGCAACACATTGCCTATACGGTGGGGTTGCTTACTGTGGAGTCCCGCATACTACACTATGTCATCACCCACATTCTGTTTCCGGGAGCGTTCAATCATTCCAGGGTGTTGGAGCATGACATTCCCATCATGTGGGCTATCCGACATGGTACTTCGGTGAACTGGAGGCACTACATCTGTTGGATGATGTATAAGGCCAAACACAAGGGTGCACTTCCATTTGCTTGTCTTGTTCAGAGGATATTGGAGCATTTTGATGTTCCCATGGGTAATGTGACCTTGAAGAAGATCACAGGGTATAATCATAAGTTTGGAAAACGTCTACTGGAGCAGTGCAAGATGACAAAGAACCCCCAAACAGGAGTGTGGCAGTTCACAGGTGCGACTGATGTTGAGGTTCCTGATGTTGCTCCAGTTGTAGACATGGTTGAGCCCAAGGTGGAGGATGATGATGACGATGATGATGAGGGTGACCAGCAGGAGATAGCTGAGCCTGAGGGTGGATTTTCATTGCGTGATGTCATGAAGGGCATAAACGCCACGCTGAAGAAAATAGGAAAAATGGCGCTGAAACACAAAAAATGGAGGAAGAGTCACGTGCAGAAAGGGAATGAAAGATTTAGACATATACAGGGACGGTTCAAGGGTGTTGAAGATAGGCTTGCTCGTCTAGAGCTTGGACGAAGAAAACAGCAGGTTGAGGATGTTGCAGGACAGGGGACTGATGTGTCAGACGAGGATGACGAGGAGACGGCGTCCGAGGAGGAGGAGGATTAGATTTAGGGTTTGTGTTTTTTACTTTACGTTTGTAGTGTGTGTTGTTATGTAATTGACTTCGGTCTTCATATTTGACATTTGTAGTTTATGTAATATTATGGTTATGAGCTGAACTATTTATTGTTCCCATCATGTTGTGAACCATTTACGTAATTATGTCATTTTTCTTGTTTACCAAATGAAGGAACATGGAAATTTTACATTCTTGTTTTCAATTTGTGTCTAATCACAGTCCGACGGGTCTAAAATGTCCAATGAAATTCAGAACAGGTGCTCATAAGAGAGTTAAATGAAGAACACAAGTTTCGGGTACCCTAAACCAAGATTTATGCAATACATGTACATTCATGGTTTATAACCGCCACAATACAATTTTGTACCTGAAAGTGTGTTCCCCAAGTCATTATATGTGTGTACATTGATATTCGATCGGTTCCGTGCCAAAAAAATACGTGCAACCCATCATATTCGAAGTCAACACAGTCAATAAATATACCGAAAAATTAAACCATAAACAAAAATTCTGTAATACATACTTATAATGGCTGCACAGATTACATCAGAATCCAGCTGTCTATGGTCCCGAGTAAGGCCTTGGTTTAGGCAGGTGTGTTTTTTACCCCACTTACTAACAACCTAACTATTTCCATTCTTGGGCAACATAGCCCGCACGTACCATGGACAACCATCATTATGGTGTCGACGCTTCATCACAAATCTATGGTCATCACTTTTTGCCACCACAGCAGTACGATGAGACTTCATACAATATAATTTGACTGCATGTTGCATTTCAGATTTAGTTCGAAACTCCTGGTACAAATATAATGGATCCCCTAAATGCCAGCCACCGTGGATGTCATCGTCGCCATACAATATCTCTGTCTCATCATTAGGGTGAGCCCAATTAATGAAGGAATAGTGTGGGCTGTCGTTCCAAAATGGCTCAATCTTAGAACCTACGTCCAAATTTAAACTTATCCGTCAGTACGAAAGAAAACACAAATATATATATATATATGCAAAATTAAAACTTTAATTTACAATCTTACCACTGCTAACAGGGTCAACACGGAGTGGTGGCATAACCTGGGAACTCAAGTTTCCTGAACTAGTATCAGCGTCAAAATTCCCCTCTACGTCCGTATCTGATGTGTCACCCAGCGGAATAACACTCTCGGGTTCACCATCGTCTTCACTGTCCATATCCTCATCATACTCATCCTCATCCTCGTCTATTTCCCTCAGTGTTATCTAACTTAAGACAGGTGCAGGTGCAGATAAACCAACCACTCTGTCTTCTTGACTTTGACTTCTTCCATGCACAGGTGCAGATGAAGATTGACCACAGTCTATTTCAACATATATCTCAATAAAGTTTTGAAATTTTTGGTCCACAAATGCATCTATGACACAGTCCACATCTTCATCGTCACATATATCATTACCAATGTAGAATATAACATCCTTACCAACTGTAGACTCTACCCTGGCGATCATCCGTTGAACGCCATGGCTGCCGTGTAGCCCCAATTTTTGGTGAATTCTCCCCTTCAGCTCATTGTACGTAGTGCCCCGTTTGATTTTCAACATTTTCGTTTTTCCTTCAAATTGAACACCGTTGGGGCCTTCATAATGCTTTCCATCATAGTAAATCATGGTAACATACATGTTTGGACTTGAGCTCATCTTTCACATGAATTTTGGGGGTAGGAATCGGATTTTAGGGTTTTGGGTTCGGATTTGGGGGAAACAATGGAGAAATAAAGGGAAATGACAATGATTTCACAATTACTATGTCTTAGAGGTGGTGGGATGAAATGGAAGGGTGATTGGAAGGATCACAGCTGACAAACAAGAGAAAGAGGAGTTTTGATTTCGAATATAATGCAAATGAGACCGAGAAAGGTCTGGATATAGGGTTTTCCGCGATATTTAGTCGACTAAATAATGGGCTCAGTCGACTAAAAGTGCAACGAATGTAGTCGATTAAGGTGAGTTTTTAGTCGACTAAAATTCGCGTTTCATGATTTCTGAGTTTTGCCCATTTAGTCGATTAAAAGTGCAACTTAATCGACTAAATGGGGGCAGGATGGTGGATAGTTCTGGGGGAGGGGCAAATTTGTTATTAATTATTTAATGAGGGGCAAAAAGGTCAAAAAGCCACGCATCCAAGGTATTCATCCTTTCATGATCAAAAACCAAGTATCCACATTTTGTATAAAAACTTAATTTTAATAATAATATAGATAATAAAAGCTCTTTTGGTTAAGGGCCTGTTTGGTGTGACGTATAAGGCATGATAGTATAAGTTTATATTATACGTTATGACATTTTCAGTTGTTTGGTGTGACCATCGTATAGTATAAGCTTATACAGCATAATCCCTTAATATATCAAAACGATGTATAACTTAATCCGGCCTAAGGGTGATGGATAAGGCCTGATAAGAGATTGTGTATTAACATCGTTGACCAATGTAATTCTCAAAAATTAATATATTATTTTATTATTAATCTATTAAAATAAAATATATTTTTTCAATATATTAATTTTTAAAATATTGAATATTTTTACTTTTATAAAAATTAATTTATATTTTAAACACACTAATCAATAAATTTTTATAAAAATTAATATCATATGATATTTTTTGAAGAATTATATAAATTCTTTATTAAAGGATTTTTTTATTAAAAATATTTATTTTTTATCATATATAATATTATACAGTGTATTACCAAATACTAGATGATATTATCTTATATAATATATTATTTTATACAATACCGTGCCAAACGCTGGATAGTATTAAAATTCAATCAGATCTTATACAATCAGGCCTTATACTATCAGGTCTTATACTATCAGGCCTTATCCTATATGCACCAAACATGCCCTAAGTTTAGTTTCTTGATTAGTTTCTCATGAAAAGTTTAGACTTTCAAATGATTATTAGTTCATGGCATTTGGATATGTTGTTTGTTTATTTTATTTTTTTCTAGAATATACTGCAATGGTTAAGAAATTTGTTGAGGAGAAAAATTATTTTTTTATTTATTTTGTTTAGTCTTGATATTAACAAATTTATGATCTAATTTAGATTTGTAATTATCTTTTTTTCTCAGCTCTAGGTCCCAAATTTAAAGAAAAAGAAAGAGAATAGAAATATTTGATATTCAAATCTTATCTGAAACTCAAGTATGTCTGTAAACTTTACTTTTGTTACTAAATTCTTTTTGCTGGTAGAGTGGGTAGTTTGTTGTGAATTCAAGTGCTACTAGAAGTTACATGCCAATCATTTTGATTGGTAAGCTAAGGTATTAGTAAATAATAAATAACATGAGTGCAGTTATAAAATAATGAAAAAAATAGAAGCAGCCAATACAGAAGGGGCAACCTCATAGGTTAGTATAAATGTTACCTTTAAATTGTTGACTATGATGATGGTTTTATACTAATGTATATGCTGTGCATGATAGTGTACCGAGATTATTATTATTGTTAACAATATGTTTTATCATAACTCTTGATAAAAAAAAAGTTTAGGATGAGGGGGGACTATGAAATATTATCTGCAAAATTGAATTCAAGATCTTTTACTCAACATTGTTTTGTGTCAACAATTATTGACATCATAGCACACATCTGTGTAGGCTTGGGCTAGGTGCAAAAGATTCACAATATTCAAAAGGTAAGCACTTAGAACTTTAAATGGTCTTGTTGAAATTATAAAAACAGCAAAAGTTGCTGAAGGGTCTAGCTAGCACAATTGCAAAAGATACTTTTGATGAATGGATTATGACAGACAACGAAGGTGGCAGAGCTGGTACGTTTGCCAGGAGCTTATTGTTGTGGAACTCAAGAGGGTTTAACAGGCAACATCACAACGTTTCTTATACCTGTGTTCATGGCGGTGAAAATTGAGATTTTACTCAAAATTAGAAAGAGAATAAAAAATCGTAAAATGTAAAATTCTAACGTGAAAAAAATCGTAAAAAATCATAAAAACGTAAAAGCGTTTGGAATTTTAATAAAATTATTTTGATTAAAAAAATCATAAAATCGTAAAAACGCAGATTTAAATCGAAATTTTAACTACAATGCGTGTGGTCATAGATTTTGCTAGTGCTCATTCCTGTACAGTAATTCATTTTATACAATTTTTGAGGTATTGAGTTTGTGTTGAGCTAGTCTATTTTTAATCAATATATGACTTTACCACTCACAAATGAATTCCGAACATATACTATTTGTCGTAAATTTCAATTTACTTTTGACCATTTATTTTGGGGATTTACTAGTGTCCTGTAACAGTAAACTCGGTCCATCATGTCAAAGACACATCAGTTATAAGATCAATTGTTTTTTTAATAAAATAAAAACTGAAACAACAACCTCACACTAATCGAAGGGTCAGCTGGAAGGAAGCTAAAAATCCTATAACATGATACTTGATAATCCCTTTATTTTGATTTGCAGTCTTGTGCCACTGAGCTAAAATAACTTGTGTCAGAACTTACTCAGAAATGTTGTACTAGTCAAGATAGGGCTTCACACACTTGGGGTGGAGAGGTTCAAGTCCTCCAGTGCCTTTGGTGACATCTTTTATGTTGACAAACCACAAATTGCTTGATATTGTTCATCATTCCTTCCCAAAAGAAATTGGCACAACTCAACAGAAGGTTTTGGGTACCCTCAAGTGACCCCTTTAACAAGAGGACTAGAACTCATCAATTAGAAATGACTTATGGGAGGATGAGTAGCTAAATAAAAAATACTTATGAAGTATCAAAATCACTATTTATGCAAAAATCAGGAAATTGGGACCTTATCCAGAATGAGATGCGGGGCATTTAAAGTGGTTTAAGTTTGGAGACCTTATCTAGAAATGTGATGTGGGGCACTGAAAGAACCAAGCACTGACCCTCATTAGAATCTGAAAGTCGACAAAGAGTGTCAGCGACCATATTTTTGTACCCCTGGTTTGTATAACATAGAGTAAATATACCCTCAACAAATTGGCCAAATAAAAATCTTGATATGCTGTTTGCAGAGTTTGGCTCATAAATTCCTGAATCATTTCAACTTAAAAGTTAAATTGTTACATGAGGCTATATTAGTGGTTTTATATTTTTCTAACATGCCCCCTCACACGAGAATCTATTGGATTTGAAGGATGAATAATGCACAGCCTCATCTACCTATGCTAAGAAATTCACAAGACATAATTAATTATTGATTAAATGGAGGCGATGATGATTGAACTCATGACACCGAAGCTCTAATACCATGTAATAAACTATTTCAATTTAAAAACTTAAGCTATTAAGTAAGATTACATTAATGATTTTATACTTTTGTAACAATTCCTTGATACTCTTTTGGTCAATCCAAATATCAGAACCCCTGACCAACAAGTAATGGCACTATTTATTAAGGTTATGACATGTAGTTTTGAACATAAGCCTAATGACTACAAATGCAATGAGCCACTTTTTTTTTAACCAATAGTGCAAGTGATGAAAATGCTTTAGTACATGGTTGAAAGAGGCCCTATTTCAATATCTCTTTTGTGTTGTTTACCAAAAAATAAATAAAAAATATCTCTCATGTTATAAGAGATAAAATTATCTCCTACACACATGTGGCCACATGTGTCCCACACACTTTTAAGTATATTTAGGAGATAATTTTATATTCCACAACATGAGAAACATCAAAACCATTATATTTAGGGGAAAAGGTTTCTAAAGTAACTTTAGAGAAGTTTATCTGAAGTTATCGATTTTAACTATGTATTACCGGTAGTACATAGTTATAATATGAATTTTTTTTTTCTTTCTTCTCAGTCACATCAACTGATGTGGAAAGTGAAAAAAAACAACTTTTTATTATAACTATCTACTACCGGTAATACATCGTTAAAATTGATATCTGCACACAATTTCTCTAAAGTAACTTTATAAAAATATAACCCTTATATTTATTATTGAAAAGAGTACCTTCTGCTTTAGAGAAAAACTGAAAGTTGGACTAAATTTAAAGCCTTATCAAACATTCATGTTTTCCTTGACTGTTTCTATATGCCTGTATTGAACAAAGCAAGACAAATTTCTCCATATATATACAACAATTATCTAACTTATAAAAGCTACTTAAAAAAATGTAAGAAGCAAGAAAATTTGTTCACACGTTCCTTATAGACAGCTCCAGAGCAGTTTGCAGTTTCCTTATTGCACTAATGTCATGGTTTCATATCTGTCTTTCTTCTTCCCTTGGAAACTTCAATAAGCTGAGTTCACACTTCATTATTTCCAAACTTTTACATACAATAGATTAACCAAAAAAAGAAAAGAAAAATACACAGAGAAGTAAAGATGATAATGATATCAAACAAATTTATAACACACCAGCTAATATGATCAGTATATCAAAATCTACAAAATCTACAACTAAATACCTTTGGCCATTAATTGGTGAAGTGAAGCACACATTGAATAAAATTGTAACTTTGTCACTGTAAACAAGATAAGCATCTTTTGTACTTTAGCAAGAAGCAGTTGCAACTGGCTTGCTATTTACTTCTTGTGAATTGGGGTCCCTTATTTGAGAAGTCAGGTATGACCAAGAGCAATGCTACCAAGTGTAATTTAAGAAGCCTACAAGTCCCTAGTATTCTTTACTTCCGTCCCACCTCTTGCAAAGGAAATTAACACGTGTTGTGAACAAAATGTAGTCATTGTCTTTTACACATTGATGCTGCTCTTGTTGTCCTCATATTCAATTTGAAGCTGAGAACAATCATTTTCTAGACTTCTGCTTACACAGCTCAATATTGTATCTTCCATCAGTTCTGCAAGAATGGCTTCACCCATTTCAAAACCGACTGTTTCAGCTTCAAATCGAAGGTCCATCCATGATCCTCTTTTTTCCATCTCTTTCCTCACAATTTTGTCCAAAGTACATGGTGGGGGAAAGGAAAGGAAATGCCAGCACACTCCTTCCCAGACCTTGAGAATAACCTTTTTCATATTTGGAGTTGGCCTTATGCTAGGATTTACGAACGATACAAAAGGCGAGACCCCAAAGTAATTCCAACAAACCTCCATGAGAACTTCATTGATACATTCATATAGGAGCTTCTGATCATGGCAAAGCTGGTTTGATAAGAACTCTACCTGATCAAACAAGGAAGGATCTAATATCTTGTCTGAGGAAAGGCATTTCATCAACAATTCATCTCTAGTCAATCCAGAGGCTTGCAGGACTGCTTTAATGTAGTCATATATCAATTCATTTTCCTCAAGACAATATTTGGCTCCATTGATTTGATTCACAGGTGAAGAATCTTGTTCTTCAAATTGAATATGTAGTGGCAGTACTGGTACTTCAGCTGAAAATCATGAATGTGATGCCAGATTAATTAATATGGTAAGCAAAAAGTATGTTACCAAGTATTATGCTGAATGGTCCCTTGAAAACAATTCCAACTTTTGCTTATCTACAGGGTAGAAAAAGGACAAGAATATGCTCCCAAACAAATGTGTTGAAAACTATTCTAGAGAAATTTCAGGAAAAAAAAAATGTATGATTTAGAAAACCCCAGCAACCGGTATGCTGTTATCTATTTTTGCTTTTAGTATACAGTTAGAGGCAGTAGAACCATTGGAAACAAGTTTTTAAAGATCTAGTTTTTGAAAAGAGAGTTTAAGAACATAGCCAGATAGGCCCTTAATGGCTTTAGCACAGGAATGCTTACCAGGTTGACATCTGGAGTACCCGGTGCTGACATCATCCTCTAAGAATGCTGTGTCAAGAACAGATACAGGACTCGGCCGCGCAGATACATCAGTAGCACTTTCTAGCGCTTCAATTTTCTTAGTGATGGAAGGGTGATAGGGGGATGACAGTGGAGATGAAGGTTGGTTTTCTTCAGTTACATCCTGTAGGAAGAACAAATGATAGTTTAGATAAGAGTTTAGACAAGAGTTTACAGATATAAGTGGTCACTGCACCAAAGAAAAAGCTATAAAACTGCAGCATTAAACAAATCTTAGAGAGTCCTTATTTTGACAACATGACTGGCATAATAATCAATTTTATCCCCAAAGCATTGATTTATGTAAAATTATAATGCAGTTAGAGATGCTACCTGCTTCAAACATTGAGAACATCTTGCACTATCAGGAATTTCTGAGATATAATAGTTTTTGCTCTCCTTTCCTGCACCGAAGCCAACTGATTCTGAGGAAGGTTCCAAGATATTTATCTCTCTTGCAGATTCTACATCACCTGCGCACAAATTAAGAAAAGGATAAATGATAGAATACCCAAAAAAAAAATAAAAAAAAATACCAAAGTTTACCATAGCATCTGGTACTTAAATCATATATTTTGGACATGATACCTTGAGTAACTATTTCATCTCTAACAGGACAATCGTTTTCCGCTTTATCAACATGACTAGGGTCATCTGAGAAATTCGAGTCAGACTTAATATCTTGTACTTTATTATTAGAGCTTTCATCACAAATGCTGGACTGCTTCCCTGGATTGTCTGTTTTCTGATCCAAATGACCAACAAAGCTTGCTTGTGCGGGAGACAAATTATCCTTATTTGCCTCCAAAATTTTATCTGAAGTAGAGAATCTTGTCTGTGAAGTCACAAAGTGATGCTCCCAAACCCTTCCAGGACTGCCAAGGGGAGAAAAGTTGTACTCAGGAAGAGATAGTATTCTGCCAAGGGTTTTGGAAATCTGCCTACTTGACAAGTCTATGTTCTCATCTCCATTACCTATCATCTCACACAGATGTTTCTTAGCCTCAATATATAAGTTAGAAACCCCTTTTTTGGGATAAGTACCATTTTCATGTTCCACAATCAATTCAGAATCTTTAATTGCACCACCAATCTTGTCTCCTTTCATAACACCAGTTGTAGGTCTTGCAATTTTTTCAATGAAGAAATGATCTTTATTAGGAGATCTCATTCCAACATTGTCTTTACCAATGGCTTTGCTGCTGGGTCCCTTATTTTTACATTCAGCAGGGTACTTTTTTGAGATGCCTTCAGGGTTTCCATGTCTCTCCCTTCCCATAGCATGCTTTAATTTATTTTTTATCTCTGTAAGAGAAAAATGTGAACTACTTCTCACAGAAGGACCATTGGATTTGACAGTATCATGAGAATCCAGGGATGAGGCAAGGTTTTTTCCAAATTCAGAATTTTGCAAGCCAATTGGCCCAGGCTTCAGAATAACAATTCTATTTGAAATGTCAGTATTCCCATTTTCATTTGTTGGACCTTTTGATTGAGACTTCACCTTTTTCCTGAAAAAGTTGTGCTTCTTGTGGTTCACAATCTCCGTAGTTTGTTCCACGTTTCCATGATCTTGTTCAGAAAAGTTGGAACCAGGAACACAACTATATTCTCTGTCATTTGTCCCCTGAGAATTCCCAAACTCTTGAACACATTTCCATAGGAGTGAATTTGGGTTTTGTAGAAGTGTAAGAAACAATTCCTTATCTGAACTTGTAAGCTGAAGTGCTTCCATAAGTTCATGGGAACAAAGGAATTTTCTAGCTTCTGTGAGATCTTTGCCATTCAATATCATCTGATTCACAAATTCGCGAATTGCATCTCTTGCATTGTTTTCAGAAATAGCATGCTTCTGGTTTGATTGTGCATGAACTTTTACTTCTCCATCGTTGCCATGCATCATGGAACAAGCACCTTTTAGATGACAAAACTCTTCAATTATCTTATCCAGATCAAGATTATCTTTAGATTGCTTCCTTGAGTGCTGATTATGTGAGACTTTGGATTTCAAGGTTGCATCCAAATTTAAATCATCAGTGTCCATATCACGGTTTTTCTTGTAAGATTTCTTTTTTCTTTGGGAATCTAACTTCAGGAGGGTTTCACGCCTTAATCTGGATTCCTTTGATTCTACTCCAGCAATATCTATATCCTTCATTGCACTTTGGTCAGTGAACATCTCTTCTTCTATGAGTTTCTTCACACTAGGCTTATTAGCAGCAGTTGTCACTGTTGGTCTTTTACTCTCTCCTCTATCCTGAAACATTCATGATATAGCAATATCAATAAATGCACAGGCATCCTCTTAGCAGATAACCTAATTTTACTAATAAGAATTTTGTCAACTTTCACTATTAAATTTCAAATTCAAGAGATGCATAAGCATATGGATTGACAGACTTACAGAACTTCCTTGACAAACTTCATCTAAGTTGCTCAACATCTCAAACCTGTTCTTAGAATGTACAACACCTGTAAGAAAAAACATATATGAAATTCAATAATTAACAATTCATTTTTATGAATCCAGTGTAGCTGCACCACAAGTTATTCCACAATCTTTATAGATAGGGAAAGCATATATGGATAAAAGATTTAAACTCAACAACATTACAGAAAATTGCTTGACATGCAAACATCAGTTACTTCAAAAATAGTATATACTCATTCTGTTATTTATTAGCATATAGATGTCAATTTTGTACAAATCTAGATAGCAAACATAGTTCTTACCAACAGCGTGCTTGCTGCTTCGTCTCTTATCCGCAATCAACTTCCTAGTAGAGTGACCATGGCGAAAATCAAACATACTAATAAAACCCCACATACAGCCTGACTTATCTTTCTCATACCGCGCAGGGCGTCTTTGGGACTTCTTTGCCATTATGATTGAGCACAATTGACTTCCTTCTTTCTTCTTTTCCTTTTCCTAAGGGTGCTAAGGTAGTCTTGGCCTTATTTTACCTATAGTCATCCAAAACACTTCAGAGGTAAGATTATGCAACCTAATAGATGAACAAAAACATTAAGTAAATAAATGCAGTTATAAGTCAACAAAATACCTATCATCACTCCCTCTAATGCCCCCAAATGCCATAGTTCATGCACAACACCCCAAGCTCCTAACAATGGGATAAATGATGCAGTAGGTATAGGCACATATCAAACTAATCTCTTTATGCTAATATGCTGGTTAAATCAACTCATGCAGAGAACCTAGTTACATGCTTAGAGGATTTAAACTTTAGTCACGCAGTGATCATCAAAATCATCAACTCATTGGGGCACAAAAGACTAAACTGAACAATCATAGGAAAAAGAGATTTAGTGGCTACCAAATTAAGAAATGTAAGGAGAACTGAACAATTTGGTAGATTATGCAACTAAAACAATCGGTTAGCAATCTAAGTCATGTAGCGAGAATTGATCAATCACAGGAAAATGAGATTCCTTCAACATTGTACCTCTTATCTGAGCCTTTTTGACTCAACGTGGTGAAGGAATAAAAGACAAAGATGCAGCCACAGAAGTCCACTTACGAAGCATCTAGGAATTCCAATTTCAATCCCACAAGTTTCCCAACTGAGTGAAGCTCACGGCGTTTAAACTTCCTTTGGAAGGAAAGGTATCAATGCCTTGTTTCTACAGGCCTTAACTATGTGAATTCTGAAGTTCCGCACACAGAAAGTTTGATAATCACATCAAAATCTTCACACACACACAAAAGCTGATCCTAAACACTGTCAAATGACTCAAATCCAAATTCCATAATCACCAATTCAAGCAGAATTCCATTACTTCTGGACAACTGAATCCATGACCGCAATAATCTCCTTCAATATGTGTTGTGGAAGAGTCCCCAATAAATTCTTACCCACCTCTAATTTATGACTCTTACACATAATTCTCTCCTAAGTTCCACCATAAAAACCAAAATGAATTATGAAAGTAAAAATTTGAGACTCTCTCAATCTCAGTTTCGCCAATATAGCCCTTCAATTGTCTTCACTAAAAAGAACCAGATGGAAAATTCTTTATGAAACATTACATTCTTTCAGAACAATGTTGCCCACCAAAAAAAAAATCAAGTCTTTTGCTACTTGGCATCTCTTTGACAGCAAAAAAGAGAAGAAAATGCTAATCTAGCACCGACCCATGATTTGTTAAAGCATAATTCTGATATGGGCAGCAAATGAATACTGAGAAAAAGTGAAAGAAAAAAAGGAGAGAGAATCGGTTGGTATTGTGGGAAGGAAAGTGAAAGTGGAGAGCTTAACAATGTTGTTGGGGACAAGAATAGTCATAGTACATGACAGTTAAGGATAGCTAGATATATGGGCCCACATAAAGAGAGTTTTTTTTTTTTTGTGTAAGGAAGAAAAGTTTGGGGTGTGTCCACTTCCTCTGCAGTTTTCAAAATGTTTCAAAGTTCAAACACCATCATCCATGTTAATGCCATGCCATGCTTCACAAGGAGAGAGAATGATTGACGTGTACGCCACTTCTGAACAAGAAACCCTAGCTTTTTACGCGCTACGAATGTGGTATTATACGAGTGATTGACGGGATATATATATATATATATATATATAGGGTTAGGATCATTTTACACCAGTGTAAGTTACACTCTTAATCTTATCCGTTGATCCCACTTATATCTATGGGCTCAAATTTTTTAATAACTTGAACCATTGGATACAAGTGGATCAATGGTCAAGATTGAGTGTAAGACTTCTAACTCTTACACCGGTGTAAGAATATCCTGCCCCATATATATATATATATATATATATATATATATATATATATATATATAGGGGAAGGATATCGTAACAATCAAGTTGTGTTACTACCAAGTGACTACAAATCAATCTTACCGTTAAGATTGAGTGTAAGACTTCTAACTCTTACACCGGTGTAAGAATATCCTGCCCCATATATATATATATATATATATATATATATATATATATATATATATATATATATATATATATATACATAGGGGAAGGATATCGTAACAATCAAGTTGTGTTACTACCAAGTGACTACAAATCAATCTTACCGTTAGATCGATTATATTGATCCAACGGTTATATTTATTTTCATCTTTGTATGGTCATGATTTCCCAAATTTAATACTTTATATTTATTTTAACCTTTGTATGGTTATGATTTCCCATATTTAATGCTTTCGCTTTAAATATGGGAAATCATGACCATACAAAGATGGAAATAAATATAACCGTTGGATCAACATAATCGATCTAACGGTGAGATTGATTGGTAGTCACTTGGTAGTAACACAACTTTGTTGTCACAATATCATTTCCCATATATATATATATATATATATATATATAGAGAGAGAGAGAGAGGGGGGTAAGATCCTTTGACACCAATGTCAAATTTAAAATTTGACACCTCACCTGAAGTCGTTAGATCAAAAAAGATAAACGACTCTGATTTGTAAGCATGTGATACAATTGATCTTCTTTTATCTAACGGCAGGATATTCTTACACCAGTGCAAGAGTTAGAAGTCTTACGCTCAATCTTGAGCATTGATCCACTTGTATCCAATGACTCACATTACTAAAAAAACTAGAGCCCTTAGATACAAGTGGAATCAACGATCAAGATTGAGAGTGTAACTTACACTAGTGTAAAATGATCTTAACCTTATATATATATATATATATATATATATATATATATATATATATATATATATATATATATATATGGGAAAAACATTTTTCAAGTTGCTTGAGACAATGTTATCTCTGGCCACCTCAAAACTACGTTGTTTTGTTTATTTATTTCCTTATATTAATTGATTCATCTTTGAATGATTATGATTCTCTTTTTCTCTCTCTTCCTTTATCACCATTGATCCATCTTTGTATGGTTATGATTTTGTAGCCGGAGATAACATTGTCTCAAGCAGCTTGAGAAATGATAAGCCCTATATATATATAATTGAGAAATTCTCAAGCAATTTGAGATACATTTATCTCCGTCTATCCAAAAATTACGTCGTTTTATTTATTTTCTTATATTAATTGATTCGCCTTTGAATGGTAATGATCCTCTTTTTATCTATCTTCTTTTATCACCATTGATCCATCTTTGTACTGTTATGATTTAGTAGCTGGTGATAAAGTTATCTCAAGCAGCTTGAGAAACGATAACCCTTATATATATATAGTGTTTATCAATGGTGATAAAGGAAGAGAGAGAAAAATGAAATCATGACCATTCAAAGGTGAATCAATTAATTAAAGAAAATAAATAAACGTAATTTTTGGATAGACGGAGATAAATGTATCTCAAATTGCTTGAGAATTTCTCAAATATATATATATATATATATGTGTGTGTGTGTGTGGGTAAATGATTTCTTCGATCAATGGAGATAAGTTATCTCCGGTGAGCCCAAAACGACGTCTTTTGGGACGGAAATCAAGGTATTTTTGTAATTATAATATATTGCAGGGTTATATTAGTTTTTATCACTATAATTTTTTAATCTTATAACCCAAAACGACGTCGTTTTGGGGTCACTAGAGATAACTTTATCTCCGACGACTGGAGAAATACTTTTCCATATATATATATATATATATGGGCTCGCTTTTTCTACAGTTACTGCAGATAAGTTATCTGCAGTAAGCCCAATACGACGTCGTTTTGAGACGAAAACCATGGTATTTTTGTAATTTTAATTTATTTCAGGATTATTATAGTCTTTATAATTACAAAATTTTAATATTTCAATCCCAAAACGACGTCGTTTTGGGAGTAAATAAAGATAACTTAGCTGCAGTAACTGCAGAAATATTTTTCTGTATATACATATGTATATATATATATATATAGGGTTTATCGTTTCTCAAGGTGCTTGAGATAACTTTATCTCCACCTACTAAATCATAACTGTACAAAGATGATCAATAATCACAATCGTACAAAGATGAATCAATGGTGATAAAGGAAGAGAGAGAAAAAGGGAATCGTGACCATTCAAAGGTGAATCAATTAATATAAGGAAATAAATAAACAAAACGATGTAGTTTTGGGGTGGCCGGAGATAAACTTATCTCAAGTTGCTAGAGAAATATTTTTCCCTATATATATATAGGGTTTGTTTTTTCTGTAGTTACTGCAGATAAGTTATCTGCAGTAAGCCAATACGACGTCATTTTGGGACGGAAATCATGGTGTTTTTGTAATTTTAATTTATTTTAGGGTTATAATAGTCTTTATATTTATAATTTTTTAAAATTTTAATACCAAAACGACGTCGTTTTGGGAATAAATGCAGATAACTTCTCTGCATTAACTGCGGAAACATTTTTTCCATATATATATATAGGTAAAATTGTTTCTGCAGCGGCTTTACGTACAACAATGACAGGTGTATGGTTATGATTCCTCGCATTTAATGCTTTCATCCTTTGTATGGTTATGATTCCCTGCATTTAATGCTTTTAAGTATATATATGGAAAGTATTTGATTGCTGCACATACAACAGCTGCAGAAATGTAAACCCCATATATATATATATATATGTGTGTGTATATATATATATGGTTCGTTTTTTCTGCAGTAAGCCCAATACGACGTCGTTTTAGGGCAAAAATCATGGTGTTTTGTAATTTTAATTTATTTTAGGGTTATAATAGTCTTTGTATTTATGATTTTTTAAGATTTCAATATCAAAATGACGTCGTTTTGGGAATAAATGCAGATAACTTATCTGCATTAACTGCAGAAAAATTTTTCCCATATATATATAGGGTTCGCTTTTTCGACGGTCAATGTAGATAAGATATCTACATTGAGCCCAAAATGACGTGTTTTGAGGCGAAAATCAATGTA